ACCATTTCCCCAAATTTTTTCTGATTATTTATGCAATTGTTCATATTTACAAAAAAATACAAAGAAGTTTGCAGAAAATGTTGTCTTTGAAATGTTTTTTCCTAACTAAAATAAAAATTGCAAAAGAATGAAACAAACAACAGGTTAAAATGTTTATTACACTTAAGAAGAGATAACTTTTTTCAAATTGAGTTGTGAGTTTAAAGCTTCTGTACTTTTGTTTTCCACACAGCGTAAAGACTTGGGGTCGTGCAGGATTTGCTGCCAGGCTTTGTTAAGCTGTCAGAAACATCAGGCTTGTGCCTGTTTTTCACAATGGATTCTGACTGATTAAACATACCTCTTCTTTTGATCAACAAAAAAAAAGAGTCCCTGACCAGCTCAGACCCAGACTGGGGGGTCATCATTAGCTCCATTAGGGCCAAAAACACTCCTTGAGCAGCATTGTCGAGTCCATTCTCATCTACTGAAGATCGGAGCACTATTGTGGTTCAGTGCACACATCCTGAGAGCAGACTGAGCTCCCACAGGACTCAGTTAAAAAAAAAAAAGCATCAATATTTCATCAAACTACTCTCTTTTTCTGGTCCAGATCAAAGCCTCGACTCCCACAGTCCTACAGGTAGAGATGGCTCTTTTGTTTTCACTCCTCAGGTAGAGCAGCAGACTGTTCTCTTTTGGAAACCTCGCAACGCTCAGCCCATCCATCTCCCAGCTTACTGCCTTGCTTTTTGGAAGAGGAGGTAAAAGGAAGGGTTGAGACAGCCAGGGTGAAAACACGCTCCACAGATGTCCAGAGATTGAACTTTTTGGCCTTGTAGTGCTGTATTATTTCCTGTTTTTTCCCCCAGGCTTCCCAGTCTGAGACTGATGGTCGAAACAATGGTGTGTTTTAAAAACAAAACAAAAAAAACTGAAGGTGTTGTTTTTATTATCTTGAATGCCTTTAGAAATCTTTAGTTGCTTCCTATGACTGGACAAATTTGAAGATTCCATAGCAGTAAAAAACAGTGGTTTGTAAACTGGATCATTGTGATTTATTAACAGAATTGAAAATGTGTCCAACAACCATTATAACCTGAATTAGTCCATCCAAATAGGATCAACTGTTTGTGACAGAAAAATCAGGATCCCATTTTATGTCTATTTACAGGATTCTAAACATTTTGGTGGTTCACATAAAATAGCTTTTAGCAACTAATGTCCTCTGACTGATCTATAACCGTCAGACTGGAAAACAGCATCTCATTTTTCACTTAACTAATAAAGGACAAAATAAGAAATATTTAGAAATATGGAAACCTGTGATTGAAGCACGCAAAGAAAGACGAAGATTTGTATCTTTGTATCATATTTCACAAAAACACTGAAGCTACTTTAATGTAAAATCCATATTATATTCTTAATTTTTGCACAATTAAACATGTGAGGCACGGTGGCCTGACACACTGTAAATTAGAGAAGATAAATGTTAGAACACAATTAAACAACGATAAATCGTGAACTTAAGATCGGTCAATAAGTTACATTTTTTGTTGATGGTTTGATCTAATCCACTAATCACTATTTGCTCATAATGTTGCGTTTGTATTCAATCAAATTACTGATGCAAGCAAGATTTCGTCAAATAAATAGTTATCAAATAAAATCAGTTTTCTGTAAGCTTTCATTCTGAGGTTACTCCTCACCTTATCTTAAAAAGTAATTCATATTTAATTACAGATGTGTTACAGAGTTTTTCAAAAGGAGAGTTAACATTTTAGGGTAATTTTCTCTTTAAACAGAGAATCTTTGAGTTCAAAATTAAGACACAGCCTATGTAACTGGAGTATTTTTCTGAGAAGATAAATCACTAGGAATAAACAGCTGCACATTTAAAATGCATGTTTGGCTGTCTTGTTGTTATAATCAAAATGAGATCGCATACATTTGCAAAGGCGACGTTCTCCTAAAATTAGAGCGACGGCATAATGGGATGATGACACATGAGTGCAGTAAACATTACCTCAGAGACTCTCCGAAAGGTTAAATAATATTTTGAGCGTATTATACAAAAACCAAGCGTAAATGAACACACTGCGTCGTGATGAAGACACAAATCTGTCTGTGACACCGAAAATTGTTGAGCTTACAATGTTTGCGGGTCTTTGTGTTTGTCATTTACAGGTGTGTAAATGTCCCCCCCCCCTCAAAAAAAAACCCCCAGCTCCCGCTCTTCTTTTTTCCTCTCATCATCTGCGTCAATCTGTGCCTGTCACTTGGAGCCGGACAGTGACTAACGACGCTCCCGGTCAGTCAAACACTTATCACCACACAGGTAACACACAGGCCTGGAAATGACTGACATGAAATGGAAACGTCTCTCATTCTGTGGGCCGGGGAGCTGAAGTGAAATATTAGCTGGGGGAGAGATGGCGAGCGATAAGAGGCTCCCTGTTTGGGCTGGAATTGTGGAGGTCTAAGTTCCATTACATTTCTTTACACACTGAAGGCTGATGTAAAGCTCCAACTTGCTTTTTTTTTTCCTCTTCAAAATTTTCTAGTCACATATTTCAAGTCTAACAATGACCTTAACTTCCAGGATGTGCTATTTGTGACTTTCTTTGGCAGTGGGTCATTTTTTATACATAAGCCATCATCCCCCAAGACGGCTTGTTGTCCACAATAACCAGGCTGTGGGCCAACTGGAACCAGAATGCAGCGGGCTGAGTGTCAGCGGGTCAGATATGCTTTCTGTGTATCTCCTATTACTCACAGACTCCAACACGTCCCTCTCTGTCCAGGTTTTTTCTTTCCCTCACACATCATCTTACAACTACTGTACATACACACCCACACACACAGGCACACAATTCCCCCTGTGCAGACGGAAGATAGATGGGATGTTCCTGAACCACAGGTGCTGCTCTACTTGTGAGTCTTTTTGCATTCTTCAGAACTCAGCGCAGATCTGCTCAGCTTTGACTTTTTTTTTTTGCCTTTTTCGCCGCCCGCTGATCACCGCCATACCTCAGGACTGCATAATGAGGAACTGGGGACATTAGTAAAACGTAATCAATCTTGCGAATGTAATTATTTTTGAAAGAACAGGACGGAAACTCGCGCGGCACACATCTAACCCTCCACCTCCGGAATTCTGTCCAAAGAGCCACTAGATGGGGTAAGTTTCCTTTCTAACCTCTGTTGCATGAGCCGGTAACTTTGGTCTGCAGCTCTTTTGAGGAAACTGCTCCATCTTGTGGGTGAAATTATGAGAAGCGTCCAGTAAAATAAAGAAAGCTGACAGTCTGTTGGATGCTGTTGTCAGCTGCCTTGATCAGTATTTATGGACAGGACAGTCATTTGGTATCTCAGTGCTCAGCCTATTGCCCGGTTTCAGTTGAGATGGGCTCCAGCCCCACCAGAAACCCTGCTGGAAACAAGGGGTACGGTTAATAAATGGAAAGAAATAGGAACAAATGTTGGATCTCCGCCGTACAAATGTCTGAGTTTGTGTTGTTTGTAGACGACATTCTGGTAAATCCCCTCTACTGAGTGATTCACAGCCCAAAGCTGACGAGTGTCTGGGTGCTGGAAAGCACTTTTCGTCTTGCGGTGAAACGAATGGATTCTGAAAATGATAAGGCCGTGGATTTCCTGTGTTTTTTGTTCAATATGTCATTTGTCAAACACTGAATCGCATCCTCTATTACTTTTACTCACAGGGCTAAATCTTACACAACGCAGACTACATCCACCAGATGACTGAACGCATTTATGATTATGCAACAAGGCATGACACTTTCTGAGATTTCCTCTTTTTTAAAGAGGCATGAGACACACTTCTGCGTGAGATATGTGGTGTGACCGTTCACTCGTGGGCAACGAACGAGCATGTGCAGTTGGTATAGGTTCGGTCATAAACAAACAAACAAGCGTTCAGCTTAAAACTGCTGGAGATTGCAGTCATGATGTCAACTTGTTAAAAAAAAACAACAACCTGTAACATTGTTTTGCCCTGTTTAGCATGCACAGGTTTGGCAGGAACATGCTGTTATTGACTTGACAGATGGTTTCCTGTCGTGTGAGGAAGAAGCCATGTGAAGGAAAATGAAAAGCGCTTGTGGTCTCACCTGAATGAAGCAGGTAGGCAGCAGACAGGGGGCCCAACCTCAGGGACCACAATAACACCTCAGGTTGTGTTCGGTACAGATAGCATGTACTTTTTCTGTTTTGTTTCCCTGCCACCTGTCTCTTCTTCTTGTGTTTTGACGTGCCAGTAGAAAAACAGATTATGCTTGTGGTTTGTGATTGAATTTGGGATATGTGTAGTCTAAATTAACCCTTTCTAGGACTGTTGAGACTGTCTAATAGGTGTTTTAGTATGAAGTGGTGTTTTATTTTGCTCCATGGAGACAAGGAGATCAAATAATGCCTTGCTCAAAGCTCAGTTTTGAGGTTTGGATCAGATCGATGATTGCATTTTAAATATCGACAGCCCAGACAGCAGTTTGTCCTCTGAAGAAATGTCTTTAATTTTTCAACCAAAGCATCCAAGCGTTACGAGTGCAGCGTGAAGAAGTCAGAGCTGAAATCCTGTGCTCTGCGGTGAAGTTTCCGCTTCGCACGGAGGCCTGACCCGTCTGCCTGAGATCCAGCCGTTAAGAGGCCACTGTGAGAAAAAAAGCTTGAATGGGTACTTGTAAGCATTCTCTGCGAAACTGCCAAGTCATAGCTGAACCCGGACTCAACAATTAAGAGTGTGATCAGAGAGGATGGCACTGACTGACAACAGGCGACGTCTAGTCAGACCGAAAGCACTGCGGAATGAACTGGCCGCAGCCAAGCGTATTTGCCCACCATATAGAGTACGTTATACCAGCGAAAGCAGACAAACACTTTCCCAAATGTAAACTGTAGACTCATCAGTGTGTATTTATTGAAAGCGTGTGCACGAATGTGTTGGTTTTTTCTCCTTGAGGTTAGAACACAAGTGGCATGACATGAGAATCTTTTCAATCTTATCTTTAATGAGGTTTTCAACCTGACAGAATAAAAAACATGTTTGTTTTTTTCGATCATTCAACCGCAAACAAATACAAAAAAAAGCACAAAAGACAAAATGTAAAAAATACAAACCCTTAAAAAACAATATTTACAATAATATACAATTTATACAGTGAATACAGGTGAACAGATGCCCCTGTGACTGTCAATTAAATGGGTGTAAACCATGGAGAATTGTTTTTATTTTAGGGTTCTTAAGGTTACTGATGATTTGCAGGTAACATGGTTAATAAGGTAATGCATTAGGAACAAAGTTAGAAACAAAACTAATTGGCTCAGGTCTCAGGTATAGGATTTTTGGGAGGTAAAATTGGCATCTATATGGAAAGAGCAGGAGTAGTATCAGTATCTGACATAACAGAGGGACGTTTTGGAACTCCCAGGGTTTTGCTTTGCCCCCCTTTGCTCAGACCACCAGCACACGTCTTCACTATCCTCAGGAGGTCTTGTCTGAACCTGACTCCAATGAAAACATACAGGAATGGGTTGAGGCAGGCGTGCATGAATGCCAGGCTTTTGGCAACCTGTCCCGCCACATCGAAAGCTATGACAGTTTTGCAGTCTGTGATGGTAGTATTGGCTGCCTGCGTGGCCTCCACAATCAGCAGGGCGTTGTAAGGGAGCTGGGAGAAGACAAACACGGACACCACGGCAAAGATGACGCGCAGGGCCTTGTGCTTCTCAAAACTCTTGGCCTGCAGGAGTGTACAAATGATGACTGAGTAACAGAAGACCATGACCAAGAGGGGAAGGCAGAATCCCATGCAAATCTGCAGGGACAGCACCAGTATCTTGGTCTGATTGAACGCGTTGTCCCAGTAGACCAGAGTACAGAAAGACGGTTTGTTGTTTTGGCCTGTCTTCACCACGGCAAAGATTAACTCGGGCAGGGCGAGAAGAAGTGAGACAAGCCAGACACCCACACAAGCAAGTTTGCTATAGAAGAGCCTCTTTTTCTTTAGGTTCTGAGCTTTGGTGACTTGCACAATAGCGATGTAGCGATCCACGCTTATGCAGGTGAGAAGGAGCATGCTGCTGAAGAAGTTGATCTTGTAGACAGCGGACACGATTTTGCAGAGGCTGACGCCAAAGTCCCAGCCCTTGATGGACTCAACGGCCCAGAAGGGCAGCATGCAGAGGAAGAGGAGGTCAGCGACGGCCAGGTTCAGCAGGTACACGTCGGTCATCGTTTTGAGGCGGTGGCGCACGGTGGTGTAAATCCAAACCACCAGCAGGTTGCCCACAGAACCCAGGATGAAGATGATCCAGAAAAGAGGTGGCTCGTAATGACTCCGAAACCCCCTGACCGAGCTTCTGTCACACATGCCGGGGTCTTCGGTCGATCCGGTGTCATAGTCGTAATCCGATGGGTCCTGCAATCAAAAGCAAATGAGCGGGTTATTGGACAGCTCGTTCTGTGCTGGAGTCCTGGGAGTTGCTTGGAAAACAATGTCAAACCACTCAACACAGTCCACAATGCTGGACTCCATCTACATAACAGTGACACAGTATCTAATGATCAGAAAGAGAGTTCCTCAGCTCACCTTTAATTAAAAAAATGGCACATGACAGCCACATGAACCCGCATGGCCACACTCTTTATAATGACCAGTGACTATCTTTGAACTTCTTTGAATCACAGCTATTTATTACTCCTTTAAAAATGGATAAAGAATCAATCGATGGTGAATTTCTGATCGTGTACAGCTGCATTGTGCTCCTTTCTCCAAGTATACTGTTTTGTTTCTTCTCTTCTTTTCTCGTTACCCAACTCATCAACTGCAGAAGGTTTCATAAGCTCTGGTGGGAATACGGCAGAGTGACATCAAACGCTGTCTGTGACGTCGGAGTTAACCGAAGCGTGCTGTCGGGTGCAGGTGTTGTGTCTGTGCAGGAGAAACCACACTACTGCAGAATTTCCTGCTGCGATCCAAGCCTGAGGGGGTGAGCCATCCTGAGGGGCTCCAGACAGGGGCCCGCTGCACCACTCAGTACCCCACAGGTAAAGATTTAGGGCAAAGATAAGCAGTAGGGCTTGGGTGTTCGCAAACCAATGGAAATTGTGACGCAAATCTGGCTCGAGTTCTGAAAATGTCACTTCAGCATTGTCTGCCTCAAGATAAACAGAACCTACTTCAACAGTCATTAGAGATGTTTAACATCAAGAAAAAGCAAAGAGCAAGTCATATTTAATTCATTACATATTATTGACGTTGCTCACAGAATATTCTGTCACAACTGTGGCTTTTTTTTTTCTAAAAAAAGAAACTGAAAATGTAAAGATCTTCCACTTGAACTTTTGGGGTTGTTTTCCCCCTTTAGTGAAAGTAAACTGAAATCCCCAAATAACTGTCAGTGCTGTGCGTTACCAATTTTCTAATCTCCAATTAGAAAAAAGCACATTCACAAGACTAAGTATGTCAGTAATTGTGACATAAACATTCAAGGAATCTTATTTCATAGTAATACTCACAGTTTGCATGGAGTAAGTGCCCGTCGGTATTAGAGTGGTTAACTCGTCCATGTCTGAAAAACAGTAAAGGGTAAATAAAGTCAGCTCAATGAAATGAATAAATCCAATATATCAAATAAATGCTAGTGGAAGTTTATGGTAGATTTCTCTTGGAAACTAATTTTGTAGAAGTGCAAATAATGACTTACCTAGTCTGTGAGAGTACAGAGAAAGCCGGTGCAGTCACAGTGCTTAGTCTTTGTCTGAGTAGTACAGCTGTTCCCTCTACTCATCCTCGCTCACTTAAATAGTTTCCCCTCAAACCACAGAATGACGTTACTAACTGTATCTCCCCATCTGTGTCTGAGACAAAGAACTCACAGGCATCCTCGAAAAGGACTTCTTCTTCTGCATTAAAACCGTGTAAACCATGCACCATCTTGAGATTTTTTCAAATGCATAACCTTAAAAGCTGTCTTTGTCAAAATAAAAACTTTCTTTTAGATGATGCTCACTCGACCACGGGACAAAAACAGCTTTAATCAAGTCATTGCCAGGTTTTGTCACACCGTGTACACGTCGGGGTTGCATTAAGCACCACAGATGATTGATGCCTGAAACTGAAAACCATTGCGTGTGATGGCAGCCTCAATATAGAAGCGTTTGTGAGTACAATGCGACAATGTAAGACCCCACTCTCTTAAATGTTACATAGATGAAAAGTTTAGGGATAGTGAGAAATTCACAATGTTCTCTGAAATAATAAAGATCTCAGTAGCCATCTTTAATGATTTTATATATTTTGTATATATGTTTTTAGGACACACCCCTTTTCATGTGTAGACTTGTGGTAAACCTGACCAAATCTACCTTTATGAGTGTACTCTTATAAAAAATTGGTTTGGTTGACAGTTTCAGGAGAGAAAAATCCACACATGCACATGTACCCATTTATGTCAACTGACCACAGAATGCCTGCAAGATTAACTGACTTCACCAAGAACATCTCCTGCTGTGGTTATGTACTAACTGCTCACCACCACGCCACAGTGGAGCCCGTCAATGAGCAAATATCCGGTAGACACTCGAATGATGCTTTACAGCTATGGTCGTAGCACTGGTTGTAAGAGGGGTTAGTGGTTCAGCCAACCTAAAACTGTAGTTTACTCTTAAATGCTGTCCTACTCTTTTCATTGGTAAAGGCTAGCAGTGAATAAATATTATTTGGTAGTGTCATTTTTTGGTGGACAGTGTGCAGTGGAGGCTTGTGGCAAAAGGGCCTCAGACCAAGAAATTGTGCCAATCTTATCATAAGAACTAAAACCCACACGATTTGTCTAAAATGGAAATATATTTGTTGTTACAGGTCGACATGACGTTTCCTGAACAAAGTTGGTTGCTGTACAAAAAAGAGGCATAATGTACATCACTAATAGAGCATGACACCGAGCAGCTAAAATATTAGAGTAAAAAATAAGCTATTTTCAAGACATAACCAATGATCTGTTCAGGATCGAGATTGTAGACATCTATGTTATTTGCTTTCGACTTCTCCTGAAAAAGTCACGCCACGATGCATCAGCCTTGACTCGCGTGGTAGGAGTTTTTATGCCGGATAACCTTCTTGACACAACCCTCGCATTTTTCTTGGCTTGGGACAAAGGATCAATAGGACACAGGACAACATGCCCCATTTGAAGCCCCATTTCTGGTCACATTTGGCCTGGGATCAAACCACCAATCCTCCCATAGGCAATCAACTGCTCTCACCACTGAGCTCTTAACTATAGTCCCAGATCAAAGATCTCTACTGATCACATACACATTGGTACAAGACCATTGCCAGCTTGTGAGAGGACAAGCATAACTTTTGAGAAGAAAAATAAATACCGGTAGACCCATTTCTCTGAAAACAATGTGTTGAGACCTGAGTTTGTGGTAGCCAAGTCCATTTCAGATTTTTTGTTTGATGAGTTAGGTTTATATCTGGTCAAATGATAATTCGCTGTATTTTTCTGTGTCAGTTTGTGGCAAGGTAATAAACTCGTGACGAATACAGAAAAAAAAGGGGAATTGAGAAGTTTATTGGTATTGCCATGGTAATGATACCATGGCGTGACTGTGCTGAAAACAAAACGTTTTAAGAAAAGTAGAAAGTCCCTGTCATATCAACTGTTTCTGTTGAAGCCCAAAGAAAAGTGAAAATGAGCTGCTTCCTTCTGTGGAACGATGGGGAATACAAAGGTGATGTTACGCCATGTCTGAAAAGGTCATTTTGACCATCAAGAGAACAATTGTATGGCCTGTTTGAGGACATATGAATTTTTTAGGGGGGATGCTTCCTGACTGTATTTTCCTTTTTAGGGCCCTTTAAAGGCTTAGGTGGTTTATTGTTCTCACGGTTTCACTTCCTGATCTCAGGGTAAAAATTTCAGGGTAAGCTTTAATTCACACAACGGTGTGGGCTAACAGCCCTTCAGATTTCAGGTTGCTGGTTTTGTTTCTCGGTTACGATCACAGTGTGGCACAGGGAGACGGTTGTGTCACAGTTAGATTAGTGTTTACCTTCTGAGAACACAGTTCTAAGAGTGAGAGGTTTCACTCATACATTGGCATTCATTTACTGCCAGTCTTTAGTTATTTGGCTCATCTATAACATAGTTTGTCTTCAACCATGAGTGCAAAAAAACGTGATGACCATGTTGATTCCTGCTGATCAGTCCCGCACATCGGCCTAAATTTTCTTAACCAAATCTTTGATATAAGGTTGAGAACAGCTCTGAATTGAACTATGACGTTTGTTTGTTTGTTTGTTTTTTTACTTTTGGGGGATTTTCTTTGCTGGCTGGTAACTTCTGAGTAATTTTCCGTACTCATGTGCCATCTGTCTGACTGCATGTTGGTGGAATCAAAACTATTACAGTTAAGTAAGGTCAAACTGTATTTTTTCCCTTTGTGTGTTTAATGCTAGAGGGAACAGACTTTGTTGGGTCCATTTTCATTAAATGAGACATATCTGATTTTATATTAGTTTTTTTAAGCTGCGTAGCAGTGACTGGGAAGAGGGTTGATTGTTTTCGATGGTGGGCGGTAAAGGGATGAGGGACACGCATCCGGATAGCTCTTGGAGGAGAGCGCTATCGAACACATCTGCCAATTCTCGGAGTGCTGAGGTTGTGAAGACTTCAGGACTCAAATGAGTTGTTGCTGATCGCGAGGCAACAGTTTAGTCATCGGCGTCATGACAAACGAGGTATGACTTCAGCAGTTCTAAGCAAACAAGATTGTACATGAGAAAAAATAAAGGGGGAAAACCAACAGAGTGGAACTCATTCCAGTTTATTGTGCGTAGCATTTGTTTCTACAAAGTTGGTCTGTAAACTGGTAAAACTTGGGAGACACTTTTTCTGAAATGGATTAGGATGACATCTGTATTCAACATCAAAAAATCTTAGATTAAATCAGGACATAAAGCAGTCCTTTCCTGAAATTCGTCAAAGCGAGGATTTAGTCCCAATGTCCGACGTCTGTCAGTTCTTTAAGTGGACACACCACACAAATTCCCACACACTAGGTGATTGGCTGTATGGTATTAGTGACAAACAGAGTTCTGGAGGAAAAGAAGTAAAAGGTGAGGATACAGAACCACCCTGGAACCAGCAGTTTGCAGAATAATCTCAACTTAAAAGATGTTATGGTTCACAGCATCTAAATCCTGATTTTAGGTCCACAGAAATCTTTCATCATTCATTTTGAGAGAAATTTCTTGACCTTTACGTTGTACATCTGACATGTCATGTCTGAAATGGAGAGCTGAAAGTGGAGAGCAGGAAGTCTACGTAAATGGGAGATTCACTGGAACGCTGGACAGGGTGGCTTTGAAGATTTGAATAAAACCCAGTGTTGACAATATATGTTTTTGACTTGCTGATATTCCCCTAAAAGCTACATTCATTTAATTCTTCTACTCTTTTTTTTCAAATTCACCACCCTGGACTTCACCGTACCTTCCTCAGAAGCAAACATCTGTAGAAAAACCAACAACAGAAGCTGCTGTCGTGCAAGTGAAACTGAGAAAACCCCTTTGATGCCATGTCAGTGAAGAGAAATCTGCTTTGAATTGAGTACACTTGCGTATTAACTCTGGCTCCATATTGTGGGAAAGCACTGTTACAGTCAGGGCTTTCAGCAGAACGCTCGGTACCGAGAGATGCTAGTCACCACTTCCTGTAACTGCTCACTGTGATTTATTTCATGCACTGAAAAGATAACTGCAACAGCTTTTGCATCCTATCTGAAATTATAGCTGGTTTCTATCACTGACTTCATACCTAAATGCAGGTATTTGTTCACACGCACACACAGATCAGTCATGTCAGTTTTACATTATAGGAATTATATACTTTACTAAGAGGAGGGTGCCACACAATGTTCATAGTTTGGTTAGAGAATGTAATTCTCTTCCAACCCTTTTTCCTATAGAAAGAAAAATTATATCAACTCCTACAGCAGATGCAAAAGATACCAGTTTAGCACAGGACATTGTGGCTTTAGGAGTTTCACTAAAAACAACGCGTTGACGGTTGACGAATCAGTGACCACTTTGTGTCTTACCTACGACAGTCAAACTGTTACTCAGAAGCTTTTCCCCCAGGATGTGAAACATGAGAAAGCTGGCTGAGTATAAAAAGAAAAAAACCAACACTGAGGCGACTATGTTGCAGTTAATTTTTCAGGTTCCCAGTTTTAAACCGAGCTTCCTGATGCAAGGTTTTACTTCTAGTGGTGTTCAAACTTTAAACGGTTCAAATGTAGGTCAAGAATGGAGTCTTATCTCGTCAAATATAGTCTCTGATCAGCATTGGATAATATAGTGTATAGTGTAGCTTTGCAACAATTTACAATGGCTGGCCAGTTTAAAGCACCATGTGATCTTTGATCAATACATGTATAGTTGTTGATGGAAAAAGAACGGCTGCTTATGCAGGGACATTTTCAAACATCCACTCAGATTTGTGTGTGCACCATGAATGTATTTTTGATGAATGGCGCCCCCTTGTTCAATATGTTAGCTCTGTGAAAAATAACATTGCTTTCATCCCGTATTTAACAAGCTTTATTATTAACCTTATTCCACTATGAGCATTTTATATTCTGATATATTTCTGAGACACAACATTTAGCAAAAAGCAACATTTTGAAATCATAATCTTTTACCAGAAAATAGAAAGCACTTCTGATAATCCCCGTCAATTTATATTTTGCCTTCAAGCCTAGGAGTTTCCTGAGTGATTTAGGAGTTTCTACATTTTGCTTTACCTTGATTTTATCCAACTGCTGTTCACTGAAGATCAGAAGTGGTCTCCATAGAAATATGGCTGACGGAAACTGGGAAAAAGGCTGACATGCCAAATGGAACAAGAGGATAACTGAAAATCATTGGAAATAGATCTCATGGATTTAAATAAAAAATAAATCCACACTCAATTCAACATGTTTTCAGACTTCAGACTCAATTTCCCAGCAACATAGAAAAAAGGAGAGATGACATAGGCCCAGAGCACTTTTAAAACGCGGTGCCAGTGCTTTAAATGCTACAAAAACGATAACACAAATACTTGGGGATTGTTTTATTTCCCCATATTTTGCACAATCCAGTCAAATGTACATCTACCATTATACATTGTAGATGTGTCACACTCTACAAGAGCATTTCGTCATGAACATCATGTAATTATAGATGATATAGTTTTCTCACACTTCATCAACCAATAAGAAAAAGTACACAAAGATTCCAGACAAAAATATTCTATTAGGGAAAAAAATATTGAATTATTCTTGATTTAGTGTATGCAGGAGCACAGGAACAAATGTCTTACGTGTGCAATATTTTCAATGATCAGACACAATGACAGATTGCTGAAAATATTTTCTGTGTAAAATGCTGTCAAATATTTCGGTGGCACTGAAGGGCCCACTGAAGTTGTTAATAAATGGTTTACAACTGTGGTGGGGGGGTTGAAGTTTGCCTGGAAACTAGTTACACTCATTAACAACTGAATTTGGATTAGAAAAGATTCTGCTAAACCTAAGACTGAGCAGCAAAATCACAGCGGTCATCCACCTGGTGCTAGACTGGTAAAAACAACTAATCAGAAAAATATGACTGCAAAGCTTCGGACAGGCAGGACGCATCTGTCCAGTTCGGCAAACTGACAAGGCCTCTTTAAACAGGGACGTGTTAGTAATTGCATAGAGCACTGAGGGAAGTCTGCTAGCTACAGTTTGTGGGCTCTAAACTCAGACACAAAGGAAAAAAATACAGCTGGTACTAATAACAATCCTGTGAATTTATTGTGTGTGCAGCCAACGTCCCAGCTTCTGCTCTTTACTAAAGCCAATAAGATATGAAGATGCCAGGTAAAGCGTGAATAAATAACTTCTCAAGGAATTCCCTCTTCGGTCTCTCTTCTCTTACAGGAGTTGAACTCATGGTTTCGAAGATTTTGGTCCTGTCCAACTGGAGATTAAAGGTTCACCTCATTCATTTGGCTCATATCTGAAACATAAAACAAACAAATATGGTGTCAGACCTTGCGTTCTGGTACTTTTTATATTCTCTCTACCATAAATATTGGAATTACTTGAAGCTATTGATGATTACTCACCTCTGCAATCGTTTTCTAATGTCTTTTAACTGGTCATTCTTTTTGGTGAGAATCTCTTTCATGTTGCGGTAGGCTGCAGTTTGCTGGAACTTCTTTTCTAACTCCTGTAGACAACAGACAAACGTCCAATCACTGAGGGAAAAGACAAATCAGTGCAAAAGCTGTCTGCTAACCAAAGGTGTCAATACTGAAGTACTGTGCTAATGAGGCTGGAGCATGTTATCTCTGTTATAAAGTGGATGTGAACATCAAGAGCTGCCATTAAAGAGAGGAAGTAACTTCATATCACTTAAACAAGGGGTTTCCAGATCAAGCTCTAGGCTAGAACTTTGTAGATGAGTGTGAACAGAAAGGCAGAAAGAAGAGCCTGAAGCATCTGAGGCAGGTGGGGACAGTTCTTTGGTATGGACCCAGGACTTTGCCAAGCTTTTCCAAAGACAGAAAACCGCGAAGAAGAAACAAACAAACACTTTCAACAGTCATCTGAATGGTCTTATGATGCCAGTGGTCATGGGAAAGCCCTTGCTTCCTGGCAAAAAGAGGAAGGCTGATTGGTGCTTTAAAAAACATTCTCACCAGCTGCCACTTAAAACCAGTTCCTCCATACTATGGCAGCATGGATGACTGGTATGGACATCTTTGCTGTTTTATTCGGTCAACAATAATAACTGAGCCAACAGAATGACAACAGACTTTTGGTTGGTCTTAAGTTTGCACGCTGGTGATAGTGATCCCAGAGAGGGTCAGAGGCCTGAACAGCACTATACCTTCTCCGCCAAGGCCAGCTGCTCCTGCACTCTCAGGAGCTCATGTTTGGAGGAAATGAGGTTCTCCTGCAAATCCTTCTGGGACGCAGCAGTGGCGCTAATAGACCTTTCATAGTCCTCTTTCAGAGCTGCCACGGTGTCTTCTAGGCTGCTGATCTCCTGGGAGTGGGCAGCCAGCTTAAAGGCAGAAGAAACGCAGGTCAGGTTCAGCTCGGCTGAACGGCAATCGCCGTGATAGCATCTCGACAAGGCAGAATCTACAAGCCGTGTGACTAACAGCGACAGAAAACAAAAGCAACAGTGAAATCAGATGGATACGTACCATTTAAGCCCAAGTTAGCAGGACAAAAACAAAACAAAATGGCAGAGGTGTTGGGATGAAAACGATAAATTTGTATGTTGTAGAAATGGAATGAAACAACAAAAAAGCAAATAGAACTTGAACACACAATTAAGATTCACGGTAAGACAAACATGAAGCGGTACCTGCTGTTCACCTTGCACCTTCTGGAGGTCTTTCAAAGCTCTCTCTGCTTTGGTTTTCTCATCTAGTGCGCTCATGGCCTGATAAAATAATAAAATACAACTGTTGTTACAAACCGAGTGAAAAGATGAAGCTACATGTTTGTTTTAATGTTTTTATAGATGATACCTGGGATTCTAAGGTCCGGAGCCTGGTTTTCAGTTTGTCATTTTCCTCCTGTAGTCTCCCTATCTCCTAAAAACCAGAAAGGAAGATTCTATAGTTTTGACCAGGAAAATAAGTAAGATTAATCTGTTCAAATAATCCTGACCAAACAACTTTACCTTGTTGAGAAGTTCAGACACCCCACCTTCATTCAGTGGTGCCAACTTTGGCTTGCTTGTTTCTTGGTTTATCTTAGAATGAAAATAAGAGTTCACAGCTAAAACACTGGCACAGATGCGCGGACCCATTTCATGTAAAACATGTGTTCACCAAGTAATTCTGCACGCAAAAAATAAACAACACACCATTTTCACATCTCTTTTGTCTAACTTATTTAAAGTCATCTTAAACTAGCCTTTGTGGAAGGCGTGAAGAGCTGCAATCATCAAAGAATAGTATTGCGTTACAGCTGCAGCTGATTTGTTTTTCTTAAAATATGTGTCACAACACCACGCTAACCTCAGTCATGCGTAAATTCTGAACCACACCGATACAAGTTATGGCGCAGGTGGGTTGATATATAAAACTTAGAATGCAGTGCACTCTGAAATTACCTCCATTACATCCATGTGGGTGAAAAAATGCTAAAAGGACTTTATTAATGGCAACAGAGATAGCAGAGTTTGAAAGCCCTACATGTGAGGTGAGTGCTATGCTCACCTTATTGGTGGTTTTAAAGTCAGTCTTCTCAAATTCAGCCACTTGTTCTAACAACTCCCTGTAAGATTGAGAGACAAGTAGAGAATTGGACAGAATAAAAAATAAGAAAAAGTCATCAAACATAGATAACGGGTTTAAAATAATTTTCATTTGTAAAATGCTGTTGTTGTGCTCTAAATCGGTAAGTAGCAGTGAGTGGTGAAAGCCAATATCTGTACATCAGTTCACAACAGCAGGGTAACCACAATGTTGACATTCACGTTTTTGAACATTACAAACTCCTTTTGGTTACTCGAAAATGTTTGACATGGAAAGTGAACACCCTTGCTGATCCTGATGGCAGTTTAGCACTCTTGTTTGAGAAATATGCTTGTGGTGCACAGGCTGTTTTCTCCGAGAGGCTTAAATGTGGTTTTTAAAAGGCAGCTGAAAACACGTAGCCCGTAACATGGGGCGTACTCCTAGTTTTAGACACCTTTTCTGTCACGTACAGCTTTAGGGGTTGTTTATTCGCCCGCCTTGTGCATATTACAAACACTGTAACTTTTCCAAAACACAGTGTTGTAAGCGGGTAAAAGGTTATGGAGGTCAGATGTTGTGTGAAGTTCAGGAGTGAAGGCTGACAAAAACCTTTAATCTGTGGAAACGTGCTGAAAAAATGAGCTCATATAGCGAACAGTCGACCGTGTGACCTTTGGTTGATGCAAAGTGCCTGAAGCACAAGTACGAGCTCCATTTCCCACATATTGACGATAAAAAGAGGAACAGGTTGATGTGTGGTTTGGGTTTGAAAGCGACACTAATTTGAATGTCATATTTAACACTTCGAACAGCTGCTTTTAATACTCTCAAAGCACCTCCAACCTGGAACCACATCTTTTGTTCTAATATGTCCAGTAAACCCTGAACGCGCTGATATGCATTTGTCAAAGTGTCATGTGCCCACAATTTGATAATATTTAAGATATACATGTCTAAACATGTACTGTACATGGCAAAGCAGATGGTTTTGAAATATGTAGGACAAAAAAAAACAAAGAATCTATTGGCAACACTGGTACAGAGCAAAGACTTTTGACGCTATGCATTCCAGCTCATTAAACCCCAGGTGACTAGAAAATGTATCTTACTCTCTTTGCTATTGCGGAATTTTCTCTGATCCACATAAAGGATAATTTTTTGTGGGAAAGCTGCATAAATAGTTTATTTCAATGGTTATTTATCTTTTATCATCACCTTTATTGCAGGTTACACCAAGACAAAAATAAGCCATTGGTTCACTCCCTTTGTTGGCCAGTCAGCGGACAAGTCAGAGTTTAATGAGCTTAGGATGAGCAAGTAAAGGCTTTGAGACAGACGGTAAGAAAACGGTGCAGCAATAACAAGAAAAATTTTGTTTTTTTACATAAAAGAATGACTGTATATTCTAGAAGTCTGTCAAATTGAGTTACAAACCAAATTCATACCTCAACATCTATATTTCTCTATACAGAAAAAAATCTAGATATCTAGATATATATATAGATATATCTAGATATATAGATATATATATAGATATATATTTATACCAGAAATATATCTATACTGAAAGTAAATAAAGAAATAAATAAAGAAATTCCTTTTTGGAGATAAATCCCTCTTCTGATTCGTTGCAATTTTCTTTGTGATCTAAATAAACCGACTGTAAAATGTGCAGAGAAAGCAGCAGAGTTTGTGGTTTTCAGAAAGCTGAATGTCAGTCTCCAAAAAAAGTAACGTGTTGGAATGGCAGACATCAGGGTCATGATGAGGGGGGTTAAATTCACATCAGTAAAACATTGGCCTTGTGACCTTTTCCCCTGGCAAGTGGCAGGTAAGAGATCTGAATCTAAACAGCACTGAAGACTTTCTATTTCTTATTTTCACAAATGTAAGAACCTTTTCACTTCCTGCTGTTATATGATATTCTGATCTATATACACAGCTTTAATCATATTGATGTGTTTTTTAGTGTGTGTAAATTACTCACACATCAGAGCAACCTAGAGGACAGGAAAATTAATTATCTATCTTTCTGTGCAAACAAAATTTACCATTATTGTACTTAACATCAGTATGAGCAGTTGTAATACAGTTGTAATAACAGCTATCATTAATATTATCGGTAGTTTAATTCAAGAATTGGCAGAAAAACACGGCATGTTTCTTTTTCCATCGCTTACCGGTTTTCTAGTTCTGAGATATCACTTTGCAGTCGAAGGTAAAACTTCTCCGCCTGGGAGAAGAGCTGCCTGAGAAGCAGCACATTGGTGTGGGCCGTGTTGATGAGCTCCATCTCCACCTCCCCACGCACCACCACTTGCAGCCCGTCGAGCATCTCCCTCACCTCATCCACGGTGAAGGTTTCCTCCACCAACCTCGAGAAAGGGAAACAGATGCAACCACAAATATTCAACCGGAAAGGAATCGATTGCTCCATCCTTCACGTGTTCCTTGCCATGTAAAGCTAATATAAAGTAAAGAAAAGTAGAACTATATCATAATAATGACACAAAATCACATTTATTCTCAACCTGCTGTCTTTGAGTTCCTCAAAACAGGAGTCAATGGTCTTGAGCCTCAACATCCTCTTTGACCTGGCAAATCGCATGTAATTGATGACTTCATTCTGGTGGTGTTCATTAAACCCAAAGTAAGCCTTCACAGAGAAAAAGAAGACAGAAATTAACTGCAAATATAGAAGCCACACAGAGACAACGATTTTGTGTAATAGTGACCACATTAGCTCATCAGCTAACCTGAAGAGGATTTTCTATAAGCACAGTGTTACAGGGCCTATTCACGTGAATTGGTTCATACAACGTGCTAAAGTAAGTTAGGAAGTGCTTGCTAACGTTAGCTGTATGCTATTCTTTGAAGTCAGAAGTAAAATCGTGTTTAGAAGACTGAGCTATGCGTTAAGAACTGTTAACAAGAGAAAGCAAACAGGTGGCCTAAACAGCTATCCATAGCAGCTACTTACCATGATGGCTGTGTAGCTGACGTTATCGTATCTAAGTAAGCTAGCTTGGAGACTGGGCTGATCAAAAAGAAAAAAGAAGGGTGTCTATCTTACTAATTTATGTAACGCGAGCAACAGACTAGAAGCGATGTGCTGGTTTTAAGCGATTAAGAAGACACCTTTGTATGCACAAACCCGGCAAAGAAGATGAATACAGGTTAAACAATAGCTATAAGATTATCTTGCAGATCTGCTAGCCTAGCTATGTTGCTAGTGTTTGCCATGAGAATGCCTTGGCAACAGAATATAGCGTCATTGCCTTGGTTACGGGAGGTGCGTTTACTGACATGACGTACAAGATACAGCAATAGCTTATGACTGACTCCCTTTTTAGAATATTATTTAGTATAAATAAAGCAACTCTTTCGTTGCCGAATGTCAGATATACATTCGTGCTGATATTCAAAATCTTCAAACCTTTACATTTATGTTTTAGATAGCTATGTTGTTGTTTGGGCAAACATTTGTCTTCATGGTCAAAACCCTACTTTCTCGATTTGTCTTTGAAGGCATCATGTACCATTCATCTCTAACTTTCACACTTTGAGTTTTACGTGTATACAGGTAGTAAATATAACATATATGTTAAAAAAAAAGAAAGAGGAAATATATAAATAAATATAGATATTTAAATTAAGATTTTCTCTCATTTATAAGATTATGTATGCATGGAGTGGTGGTATCTGTATGGAATTGGGTATGGAGTATTAACCTATAGTGATTGAATATTTTTCTCAGGATTATTGGGCATATAGTTTCCAGACCAAATTTTTTGGGGGGTAATTTCAATGCTGCTTAAGGTCCAATAGATCACAGTAATGTAAGTAAAAATAAATGTAATACTTAATTCTCTTAAATGCTTTTATTAATGCTGCATTTATTAACCACTCGCCTTCTACTCGTCTTACGTCTTCACACTGAAAAACTGTCATTTGGTTGTATAGCCTGGTTCATCGTGGTTCATTAAGCAGTAGATGGCAGTAGAAGGCCAAAAATGGAAGAAACACAATTAGTCCTGGCAATGCTGTGGCTTAATATAGCTGAAGTCTACTCTTCATTATCAAGAATGACCATACCTTCCTCTTCATTGTTTAATTGTCTGAACTACTAAAGCTGTAGATGCCTCTATTTGATGGCACTTATTGTTGTTTGGAAAACCTTAGTTTTGTAATAGCTGGTTGTTCTATGGCAACACATTTACAAAACTTTTTGCCATGCTTTCATTTGCACTCTGTTAACACTCCTATCTAAGACACTTATTTTATTTCAGTACTTGACCCCGTTAATTGGCTTTGAAACTCAGTGTAGCTGTTCATCTATAGTATTAACTCATTTGACATCATGTGAGACAAATAAAAACTCTAGGCAGTCTGTGAGACAACCTTCTCATCCTGTCACAAAATCCTAAAGAACTTCACTCCCCATCTTGTTAAGGGAAACTCTACTAGGAAAAAAGAAGGAAATTTTTCTTTTCCTCATGTTTCTCCTGCTGTAATTGAATTAGACTAACGGGCAGCGCATGGTCAGTCACCCAATCAGATGCATTATAACGTGACCATTTCTGCGGTGCTCTGCTCAAGTTTAGTGTACAATATCAGTCAGTAACAGAGGCCAAGATGTTCCCCCTCTACCTTCAGTCGCGGTGAGTCACCTGTAATTTCAGATAAGGATTAAACACAAGTAGTTTAAAACCATAAAATAAGACATAGATTACTTTAGCTAGTTTTTGTTATGTTCCTATATGATGGTTCTGTTACACCTTTTAGTTTGTGGGGTCTTGTGATTTTTTGTCATTCCGTTTTGCGTCTTTGGTAACAGAAGAGCCACAAACTTTTTTGGAAAACTATCAAAAAGAAATTCACTTGAGGAGGATCTTGGTCTATTATATGATGAAATATGTGTAATGTTAAAAACTCACTGTAAGCATGAAAAATGTAACTATCAATGTACCACATATCAAAGGCAGAAGACGGACCAACATTTTTTGCTAAAAACTGTTAAAAACTAATACAGATGAGAAAGGAAGATGTGAGTCTACATTTGGGAATTTCATGTTATTACTTGTTATTCATATGTATATGAGTTTCAAATGTATCCCAAGCCAGTAATCAAATGTGATAGTGTTAGTGGTATTTCATTGTAATATATGTCCTTTTGACTTTTCTGATGCAAATAACACAGAAGCTTTGTGTCCATCTTTTGAAGCATCTGAGTATACTTAGCGTTGTATGTTCTTAAGTAGGTTTTTGCTGCTGTGTTTCATGAATCTTGTACTAATTTTGAAGTCACTTTAGTGCTGCATTAGTGGAAGATAATCCCTAGATGGCAGAACAGCCATAATGAACCAAAAAGAAACAGCATAGTTTACACCCCCAAAAATTTTAACTTAAAAACATAGGCATTCCTTCTAATCTTTGCAACAATCGGAACAGTGGAAATGTAGAAATATAGGACAAACTGCGGAATATAATTAATTCTTCGATTTTGTGCGTTTGGATAAAATCGATATTTAATCAATTTGGTTTTACTTTAATTTTGGTACTTGGTAAAATGTTTCTCTTTGCCGTTTTAAATCGGTATCTTATTTAATGTTCTTTCATAAATGATCACAAATGTAAACTACAAAAAAGCCTTGAATGGTTGCCCTGCAGCGATCAGCTACAATGAACCGCTCTAGGATCAGTCTTGGTAGTATCCGTTCATTCAAACATTAAGGAAACCAAAGAAAAGCTGATCTGAGGTCAGATCCGTCGATCATTCCGCTACCAGACAAACCAATCAGCTGACAGCCGCATGACAGTCTGGCCTCGAGCTTGCGCAGTAGACCGCTTTTGGTATCAGGAATATGGCAGCGTCCTGAGTCTTGTTGGGGGGGGATACAGCGCAACTGAGTACCTTCAGCATCAGAGTGGGAAAACTGAAAAGCACTGGCCGCACTCAGAGGAGGGTGGGGGGCTGAGGGACGGCTACTATTAACACCCATTGCCGATTTAACAGGTAAATGCAACCGTTAGCACGTGCCATATTTGCCTTATTCGTATTTGCTTGATTGAACTCCGCCGCTAAAGCGACTAGCTAGCTCTCCCTTCAGATATAATTGATGTGCTAGTTAGCCGCTAACTTGTGGCTAGCCCAGTATTGGCCTGCTGCAGACCCTATTGTGCATTTGGCAAACAAACGCTGATAACAAAAGTATTTGGAGTCTCGTTGTTACTCTACATAAGGTGGAGCAATAGTCTCGACGTCGCAAAGGAAAGCCAGTGTGCTTGTTTGTAGCCAGGCAGTTAACCGTTCAGGGCCTGCTGCCATGGAGCAGAGTTGGGTTAGCTTCCTGAGAGACAGGTAACGTTAATGCTGTTTGTCACGGATTTACTTGACAGATAGGGGCCAGCTCACGTCCAAAGACGGACTTAAGTCCCATTGGTCATATTAAGGCTTCTCGTATCCCTCCACACGTTTCTTTCGTGTCTGTCGTTGATAAAACATCGCAGGTTTAATGTATATAGTAAACAAGAATTGAATTGCATACTGTGTGTATCATACAAGACGATGTGGAATAAGTTCCTAACTTCAAAGTTCCTGTGGTCGTTGAAAGATTGCTTCATATAATTGGGGACTGTTGCAACATGTTTTGGGGTCAGGAAAAAGTCTTCATAGATACAAATGTAAAAACTAAATATGACTGATAGCTACAGTAGGTTTGGTTTAGTTTAGGTTATATATATATATATTCCCCAGACTGTTTTTTGATGGCCTAGGCTACCCACTGGCGAGTTTTACTTGGGGCGGTTTAGGGATGAAATACATTATTTAAACTGGGACTAATAAAAGGGTTAAGGCCATATACTGGTGTGAAGGCACATGACAGTATAACCCTTGTACTCACACTGCTGCTGAGGTAGTTTACCATGATCTTTAATTCTCTAAAGCAAACAAGTGATTTACCTTTTTGCAGATAGTTACAATGTTCCTTTTTAGGTCAGGCCCTGTTTTCTGCTGTTTTGATGGGCTTCTTCTAAAGGCCTCTCACAGTCCGTTTAGGATGACCTGGTTGAAGGCAATATTCAGAAATTGCACACTGAACTTGTAGTAACTATGGATCTCTACATGTTATCCCAAAACTTAAGTTGATTATCTATGTAGTTTCATTGGTTTTATGTTCATCTGTCTTCCATGATGCAGGATGCAGTCCATCCACAGTACGTTTACCTCTGCCATCTTGTTTCTTATTTTTTGTGTCATCTCGTTCAAATCTATAAAGAATAGCCTCATAATGATTTGTGTCGGTCTGCGTTCAGGCCATAAGAACTGGGAGGGCAACCATATGACCCAAACCTGGTATCTTTTTTACAGTCATCACAGCAGACTTGATGAATTGCTGTAATATAATTGTAAAAAAGTGCCCAACCTTCTACTGCTGAAAAGCACAAACTATGCAGTGCTTGATACCAATGGCAAAATGTCTCCATAAATTCTTTTTTTTTTAAATAATAAAATGAACCATGACAGTGTTTCAGCAATACTGTGTTTCAGCAATACTGTCATTAAATGATAGCTATTCTATTTATTCATCCTTCTAAGAGTATAATATATATATAGGCTTTTAAATGTTGCCTTCTGTGTCTTGTTTTCTATAAATATCAGACACTTGTCCCTTTCCTGATTGAAAAAGATTTAGTTTGGGGTTTTTTTTGGAGCTCACAGTGTCATTTGCTCACTGAAATGGAGTGGAAGGAAAACTGAAGTGGGATTTTTCCAGGATCCTGGCAGAGTGCTGACACAGGTTCCCCTTGTCACAGTGCAGCCGTTAGCAAATTACTGCACTGAGAGCAGGAGAGGCCGTTATCCCTTCCCTTTGCACATCTCTGTTCCTGTGATTGGTGTGCCTTTAAAGGCTTTATTTTTCTCCTGTTTAAACAATCTGTCACATGGTGTCACATTTAACCACCCAGCAGGGTAAACATTTTTTTAACCAAATTTGAATCCTTGGCAGACATGCTGTAACATCCAGTCATGTAGAGTATATTAATAAATGATTATGATTTGGTTTAGTTTGCACATACCCATGTGGTTCTTTGCTGTGCCGTTTTGTGTGTGTATGCCAAGCTGTATCCTAATAGCGAAGGGGAGTTAGACAGCATGGAAAACCGTGGCAGTAACATAGTCATGTGCTGCCATGTGAATTGATGTTACAGCTTGTAACTGTGAAGATAGCCAGTCATGGAGTGATAGACCACTCGTAGTTGGAAAATAGCTGTTTACACAGCACTGCAGCTGAGGCGGTGTTTGGTGGAGAACTCTCCCTCTGTGCTGAAAAATGTTGAATGACCGTGTGAAGTGTGTGTCGCGGTATGTTGCAATGTGTATGGTAAATAAATCTGATGTAATAATGGCTGCATTTTTCTGGCGGCTTCTTGTAGTCTCACGAATGATACAACACGCACCCTTTAATTATGCTCTTGACTTTTTTTGTTTCTGTGTTTGTATGTAGCTTGCTGTTTCAACCTAGTCATTATTACTCTGCCTCTGTGTTGCAGGTCGTGTGAAAAGATGAATGTCGTCAAAGAAAACAAAGACCTGGCCTGTTTCTACACCACCAAACACTCCTGGAGGGGAAAGTAAGACCACGGCTTGCCTTTTTTAACCACAGAAAATCATTTTAAGGTTTTCAAGCATAGATCATTTTAAATCCTCTATTGATTATTATACCGTGCAAGGCAACATTAACTTAAAGTCTTATTTTCATCTTCTGGCCAAAGAGAATTGGGAAAATCCAGAATTCCTTACTCAGTGCTTCCATTGTGTGGATTTCCTTATCTTAAAGAAGGATAACGGGTTCACTGACCACTGTCAGCAGTGACGTGATCGCTGTGTTTTGTAGAGGTACTCTGCTTATGAAAACTAACTCAAAGCAGCAGATTTTGACAGCAAACAGTGGACAGAATTAGTCTTCGGCAAGAAAACGTCTGTTATTGACATTCATTTTGTCTGGCAAGCAAATCGCAGCCATCTGCTTTACATTTCACTGCTGGGGAAAATATAACCGGTTCCAAGAAAAACAGTGCAATTTTGGTCAAGAACATTATAGAAGAGTCTAAAATACATTCCAAAAAGGTGAGACGTGTCCATCATACAGTTATCAAAGGCAATGAGCATGATGTAGTGTTTGAATTTTCATTCAAATTAGAAACTGTCTTGTGTTGATACTTCTAAGTCCTTGAAGCTAATAGAATGCACAAGCTTCAGTCTGAGCAATGAGCTTGTGGTCTCACATTACCAATACCTGCTTTCTAAATGCCTTTGTTCCATTAAGGCCTCCCATTGACTTTGGTAACTTAAGCTGGGCTGTAGAGCATTAGCCATCATCGCTGGTTCATCCGGCTAATGCTTCCTGACGGGCAGAGACGCGTGTTAAGGCCAGCACTGAAGAACTGGTGGTGGTTCATCTGAACTGGCCGGCACATGACCTGACCCTCCTCTGGGCCTGATGTGTCCAGCTCCAGTGAAAAGGCACTTCTGTCAGTAATCTTATTTAAATATCTTAAGGGAATTTTACTGACTCCCCTGATGAAAAGAGGCTTGGAGTTGAGGGAGAGACCAAGTGAGAAAAGGGAAAGAAAAATTAAGCTGTTTTGTGCTTGTAGGATAAATTTATATTGAGCTTCTAATTGTATGTGTTGGATTTTGAAATGTATTGGATCTGACAAAGTTCAGTTTTCGCCTTTTCTTCTTGCTTTACAGCAGCTGAAGTCTGCTCCCCAATGGATATTAGTTCACAATGAAAATATATCATTTAGTCCAATCGGGGTCACCTAAGAATTGCATCTCTGCAAATGTGATACAGGAAGTTGAAACAAAACTTTGAAATGCTGTGCTAATACTAGTTATTACTTCATGGCTTTCATTTTTTTCTATCTGGTTTGATTTCTACATGTGTTTTCTGTGACATAATCAAATTTGAGAGCAGTTTTTGATGTTTGAGAGTCTTAATTACTGGCAGACTTTGCCCCAGACACAGCTACAGTAGACCTTATTTGCCCCACCTCTCTGTGCTCATGATCGTGTTTAATTTAGGTCTTGTGACAGCAGTTGTAGAAAATATTAGGCTTGCCTGCATGTCATCCTAATTAGGTGCATTTCTCAGAATTTCTGTGCAAGTAAACCGAAGTTGTCTCTTACAATTAGATTTTTTCTCTTTTAAAGCAGGGCTCTTCTCTCTCTATTCCTTTTTATTTGTGCTCAGACATGCAAATTGGTGCCAACTTTGACTCTTCTTTGACTGGCTTCATTAGTCTCTGCTCCTCAAACACATTTACATATAGGATAGGATAGGATTACATAGGATTTGTGCTTGTGCAACTATAGGTTTTAGGTTTGTTCATTGGTTCTCTCCATTGTTTTGTTGGTCTTTTGCAATGCTTATAGTCTTCCGTCTTTCCATCATTCGTAGCTTTTCTGTAATATGATGTTTGTTTTGCGTCTCAGATTGGAGATTATGTTCTGTTATCGATTATAAGGGATTTGTGTTGGATTCACATCAGCAGCTTAATTTCCTTTGTGAGAAATGGAGCATAGTTTAACTTGCATAGGACAGGCAGTAATGAGGAATCTTGCACAGGATACAGGAAGTTGCTTAATGTAATGTATTATGAAACTGCAAAGAAAGGAAGACATGCTTTATGCCCATATGAAGTGTAACATGTTACTTATGAGAAGCTATATTTATAAAGCCTGGTGTGTAATGTATTTAATTGTGAATCTCAATCAAAGTGAAAGCATGATGCATGCATAAAGAGGTCTTTGCTGGTTGATTTTCATATCTTTGAGAGTATGTAGATAGTCACAGGATTTTTCTCGAGTGCAAAGTTTAGAGTTTCATGAGGCTCTTGGTGCATTTATTTTTCTTCCTGGTCATTCTTTGTTATTTTTCCAAATGTCAGCCTCACAAAAACTCTGCATCTGTTAGGTACTTGAAATTGGGGAACAGCATAAGATATGAATGGAGACACACTGGTTAGGGATTGTTGAGTATTGCCTGTGCACTGAAATAGAATTGAAGGAAGTCAGGCCACAGTGAATGAATAATTTACCAGGTTTTTGCCGACGCTCAATTTAAGCCAGCTGCTTGGCACCAAGGTCAAGAAATGTCTAGAGGCAGCACCCTAAGATGAGAGGAATCACGGCAGCACGCGTCATACTTTAGAATATCTACATTCTGGAGGTATCAGAGGTTATTCAAGCAGGGATACTTTGTATGCTATACCAATAACTGCTGATAACCTTTTAGTAAATAATGTGAAAGGACTAGTTTGGAATAAAAAGATGATCTCTCAATTTAAGTATCTATACAAAGCTGCTGTCTGATCACAAAGCATGCCAACATCACACTATAATTTTTGAAGACTGAATTGCACAAGTATATCTTTACTTCCTGTATTGAGAGTCCATAAAAAAGCTAAGGGTTAAACCGCTGTATGTGGCACAGACAGGCTGCCATTAGCCCCAGACTCCACTGATTCTGGTGGGTTCTCAAACATTTTGTTGGTGCTTTTTTTTTTACTGAAATGATGAATCAGTCGACCTCTAATTTTCTTGCCATTGTCATAACGTTGAAACGTTACCCTAGAGGATTATGACGTTAATATATGGGCACAGTGTTCTACCCTGGCCTTGCCTCAGGCCACTGCCTGTCTTGTCTAATTGAGTATATCCTTCCTACACAAATACTAATATGTAATGTGGAAGTAAGCTATCAAGTAAACTTCCTTTTAGACTGCTTCTTGACAGAGTAGCAGCTGTTAATTTCACCAGACCTCCTCTTATGTGGGCTTAATGAGGATGTGCTGAAGGAAAGGGGCCAAGTCAGCACGTTTACTGTGCAGGCTAACCAGACTATTAAGTGCTAAATGGAAATGTTATACATGAGTGGACATACCAGATACAGCACTTTGACATATTTACACACTGTACAGACTTTAAACTGTACAGTTTTTAAAATGAATTCTTTTCACTTTACCAAACCTCACAAATGTCATGATTCACGAATCATTTAACAGAAAGTTATGAATTGGACAAACATGCCAAGTGAAGTTGCCAAACCACAACCAAGTGCCCAGAAACATGTCTGTGTGCTCAAAAACGTGCACATTTCACACTTCCTTCCTACAATGCAAGAGAGCTGCCAGTGCCGTTATTGTTCACATGAATTAGCGTTTGTTGCTTCAGTGCTAAAAAGTGGCTCATTACAAAACTGCCACTATCTGCTACAGGGGGTGGTTGCTTTTTCTTTAGGTATGAGTCAAAGAGCCAGCACAGATACATGGAGAAAAAGCAGCACATTCTCTTGAGTTCTCTGAATATCTAAAATGAGAAAAGGAAAGGACAAGAAATCAATGCTCATATTACACCCCGTCTCTCGAGTGGTGGCCAGTGAAGTGTTGATGCAGGCAATTGAGCTGTCACTGTTTTCGTGCCTTTTTCCTGTCACTGCCTCATAGAAATGCCTGGAAGCAGACCTCGAAAAACCTGAGTCCTGTTGATCTCACTTGTCCTTGACTCATCATTTCCTAGCAGCATTTATTTATATCACATTTATGAAAATGAAGCACAAACGACATCTTACAAGAGAGTGTGTGGCCCTTCACTGTTGGCAGGGTAACTGTATCCATGTTTTCCACCTTCGCTGCTCATATCGTGATATTGCTTGAGCTGTTTGGAGGTGTTGCTTGCATGTGTGGTTGATACTGGTGGGCCATGTGTGAGTCATCGCTAATCTCTATGTTGCAGATACAAGCGCGTGTTTTCAGTGGGGACACATGGCATTACCACGTACAACCCTACCACGTTAGAAGTAACGAATCAGGTCAGTATGTGTGGAACGTGTCTTACAGAAACTCAGAAGTCACACAGGAGGCTCTTCTACGCATGCCCAATTGGTGCTTGTGAAAAGAGCTGTTCCTGCCACCCTGTGACTATTGGAAATCCATCAGAAGTCTGTTGTGTTGGCTAAAAGCTGAAACGGTATTTTTAACTCATGTTCAACCTTTGGATATTCCAATGGTGTGTCCACTGCACTATAACGTGAATGCGAAGGCATGTCTTTGTACTGTTTAAGTCATGAAATCACTCATTATTTACTTATTCAAATAGAAAATAGCATAATTTAATGTTAATATGCACGAAGGTTCTGTGATAATTTCTTTACCATTTTCAGATTGTACTAGAATTTTCAGCAGTGTACAAGATGTTTCAACTACGGACTGATAACACTGCATTTGTGTTTTCTGCTCCTAAGTATTAAGGATGATAGACTTTTAAGTGTGAAGTGTCACCCCCTCTGTTTTTTAGTGGCCTTATGGAGACATTTGCGGTATTGGTCCCGTAGGAAAAGGTCAGGGTACGGAATTCAGCCTCACGTTCCGCAAAGGCAGCGGGAAGAAGTCTGAAACGCTCAAGTTCTCAACAGAGCACCGAACAGAGCTACTTACAGAAGCTCTGGTAAGAAGAAACTGTGCCACTGCCATCATTGTTCATTCACACCGAAGCACATAATTCTCAAGATTTCATGTATGATGTTTAATACAGATGATTCATGCTTTCGAGTAGTTTCATGGCTGCAGGTTTTTTTTTGTTGTTGTCTTTTTAAAGTGTAATTTAACAAGGCTTTTACACTCTGGAATAATTTATGAAATTCACTTAAATTAAGACTTTTAACATCAATCTATTTGAAAATATGCATCAGTTTGTAGTTTTTATGGACAGATTCAACAGATAACGTTGTCATTGTATGTGTTTTATTGACAGAGATTCAGAACAGAGTTTTCAGAAGGGAAGATAACTGGCAGAGTAAGTAACGAGACCTGAAGTTCTGGCTTTTTTATAGTACTTGTATTGAATGTCTGACAACATTTGTGCGTTATTGTCCACAGCGTTACAACTGCTACAAGCATCATTGGAGTGACACACGGAAAGCTGTGAGTTTGGAGGTAACGCCTGGAGGCATCGACCAGATCGACCCCCACACAAACCGAGTCGTGTGCTCCTATGACTACCGAAACGTAGAGGGTTTTGTGGAGGTTTCTGATTACCAGGGAGGGTTCTGCATCCTCTACGGTGGCTTCAGCCGGCTGGTATGTTGGCATAGAGCTGCTAATGTGTGCACATGCTTCAGTACTTTGCTTCTATACATAGATTTTATTTGCCATTCTGTTCTCATCTCTCATTGCGTCTTTCCCTCAGCATCTGTTTGCTTCTGAAAACCGAGATGAAATCATCCGCAGCGCCATCGAACACGCAGGAAACTTTATTGGCATCACTCTCCGTCTGAGGAAGGAGGCTCTGACTTTTGAGAGTTTTGTAACGGACAGATTGGGGAAATACAGCTCGGACGAGAGCATCACTTCTCTAGCCGAGTTTGTGGTGCAGAAGATCACCCCTCGACACCCGGTTAGAGCACTCCGCCTGTCTTTTTGTTTTACTCATTGTACTAATACCAATAATGTCAGGTTCTCCTTCCACTTCCCTAAATGATTCTACTTTCAAAAGTTGGCTCTTTGATCAAATTAAGCAGTAATCCATGTTTGTTTAGCAGTTTGAGTTCCAGCATAGTAAAGCTGTCAAGTTCATGCCCCTCTAGTGGTAGCAACTGAGGCTGCAGGCAGAAATTACCAACAGTTTTAAAATGAGGCAAGATGACTTTTCAATGGTTGCATTTGACAATGTCTGATAGCCATCTTTCCTGGAATGGTGTCCCGATTAACAGCACAGATTAAATCAGTATTAACTATTGCAGAGGATTTTATCACTAATCTTGTTATGTTTTATGACCTCTGGGATTTTTTGTTTCTTCTAGGAGCCTGTTAAGCGTATTCTGGCCTTGACGGAGACCTGTCTAGTGGAAAGAGACCCAGCTTCATACAACATAGTCACCATAAAACCATTTGGAGAGGTGAGACATAACATGAATAACTGCTGGCTGCTTGTCTGCTTGATCGGGAATGAACTGCCCTAACAATAAACCATGACCATTGCTCTGTTTCTTCTCCCCTCAGGTTTTTGCTCTCATCTGTGATGTAGACAACCCTCAGGTGTTTACAGTTGAATTCATCAGGGGTCAGATCAGGAAGTACTCCTCTACTGAAAGGTTCTTAAACCCAATTTCTTTATTTTTTTTGTATACAATGACATTTTTTTTACACTGTTATACATTTTTAATCGTACCTTTGGCCCCACTTATTTCTGATTTTTCTGTACTTTTCACCATATTTGGGTTTTGCGTACAAGGATGCTTATTGGCTTCGTAGCCTTTATTCCATCATGCATGCATCAGCTGTGCCCCGTTGCACTGATCACAATGAGCTGAGCCTGCCTCTGTTTGTCTGCAGGGACTCTCTGTTAGCCAGCCTGCTCGATGGAGTCCGAGCGTCTGGCAACAGGGATGTGTGCGTCAAGATGGCCCCCACGCAGAGAGGACAAAGGTGGGGTTTGCTGAGCATGCCTGTGGATGAAGAGGTGGAGAGTTTGCATCTCAGATTCCTGGCAGCACCTCCCAGTGAGTCAGAGCCTTCACAATCATCCTTTTTTGTCATTAGTAAGCAGGTTTAGATGTGTACTATTAGGTCGCTGTGCTGTTATTTTTTAAGGGCTCAATTAAAAACATTTTGATGCACCCCCTCATTTAAGATATACAGTTCTGTCTTTGATTCATACATAACCTAGTATGTGGAAATAAAAAAAGGGTCAAAATGTAATCACAATAAAGCTGCATTTAAAAAAACAAAACAAAGAAAACATTGTTGGTAACCTGTTGATTGTACATACATCTCTCATCAGATTCTCCTCCACCAACTCGCACAACATATGTAGCATGTTAGATTTTTGACTACTTCCATGCAAATGACGCCTTTAAGCACACACATTTATGATTTTTTCATTTCCTTTCAGTACAGCTGAATATGACAACATGACTAGTGTATAAACAAGTGATCTAAAAAATCCGAGCACAGTTTGACATCCCAGTCATAAAGTTTTGAGTGTTTTTTTTTTTTACTCTCCCTGCTTTGCTTAGACGGAAACTTTGCTGATGCCGTGTTCAGATTCAATGCCAACATATCCTACAGTGGAGTACTTCATGCAGTTACTCAGGATGTGAGTGTTTTGCTTCCTGTGAAATTTGTCCGTCTGTCTATGCGAGCAGATCTGCTGGAAATGATGACTTTTGTTTTTTCTTCAGGGCCTTTTCTCCGAGAACAAAGAGAAGCTCATCAACAATGCCATACTGGCTCTTTTATCCCAGGAGGCTGAGCTGCCGACTCTTAACGCTGAGCTGGAAAGCCATTTTCAGGCCATTCGACGCTTGGTGGCCTCCAAGGCTGGCTTCCAGGCTTTCACCCAGCTGCCGAAGTAAGGCTGCTGCACACACGTCACTCTGTCCATCTGCTTTTGTTTCTGTCTTAAAATCTGCATTTGCTGAGCTGCTTGTAACAGGCATGCTCTGTCATTCCAAGGTCTGGTCAAGGGTCTGGACTCACAGATGCAGCGTAAATATGAATCCATACATCTCAGTCTGCCCTTTGTCTGCCAGTATTTCAAACCCCTTCTTGATCTTTCCAGAATCTGTCCTAGTTGTCTGTCAGCCTTCTCTACCTTTATCTTTTTTCAACTTTTATCTCAGGCTTCAAGACAAGTACTTCAGATGGGAAGTTATGTCCCTGCACCTTATTCAGTTGAGCTGTCATACTGTCATACTATCAGAATTATATTTTTGTTGCTTTTGTATGCTTATTTCACCTTCCATTATTTGCCCCAGTTAGTCTGTTCTCTACATAACTGTTTATCTGTCACATTCAGACTCCTCTACTCCTGTCTTTCAGGGTCACTGAGATGTATGAGAGGAACTGTATTTACTGTGTATTCCTTGTACAATGTGAAGCAAATAAGTCAGAATTGGTTTTCGTGAAAAGATTCATTGCAGTTGCAGCTTGGTGTTTCCCTCGTACAATGTCAATACACAGCTCACAATAAAACAATAAATAAGCTTTTTTTTTTATTATAATATACTGTCATAGTTGATATACAAAAGAAACAACAAGCCACTTTAGAAGCAATGAATTCTTTCTATATTCAACCTCAACCTCCTTTTTCTTACTGTGCTTTTAAAAAAAAAACTTTTATTTTATTATTTGTCTCAAGCAAGGTTCCTTTTTGTTTACAGCTTCATAATTGTTTGTGCGTTCCAGGTTCAGGGAAAAGTTGGGAGTAAAGACAGTTAAAGCTTTGAAAAGGAACAACAATGGTGTGACTCATGCTGCTATAGACATGCTCTGTGCCCTTATGTGTGTAAGTATCGCCTGAATAAATATAGCATGCAGACGTATAGTGGCACACATTTACCCTCGGCCGTCTTTGTTTCCAGCCAATGCATGATGATTATGACCTGCGGCAAGAGCAGCTGAACAAGGCTTCTCTGCTTTCTTCTAAGAAGTTTCTGGAAAACCTTCTTGAAAAATTCATCACCAACGTGGTATGTTTAAACACAGTAGGAAGCATAATAATTTTCATCCCATAAGTTTTTCGCTAAATCAACAGGTGTTCATTTAAAAAAAAAAAAAGGAAAAAAAAGGTTCTAATCTTTTTTCGTCTATTGTCATTGCTTTCTCAGGACCATGGAACAGGTGCTTTGGTCATCAGCTCTTTATTGGACTTCTTGACGTTTGCGCTGTGCGCCCCCTATAGTGAAACAACTGAGGGCCAGCAATTCGATATGCTGCTCGAGATGGTTGCATCCAACGGTCGAACATTATTTAAACTGTTTCAGGTGGGAGAGGGAACATTTGCGGAATTGTCAGTTTGTTGAATATGAATGTACTCTGGATGTAATAAGTTGAACACAGCTGCTTTTTCACACCAGGCGCCTGTGTTTTGAATCCTTTTGTCCTTATTTCTAGCATCCCTCTATGGCAATAGTAAAGGGAGCTGGCCTGGTGATGAAAGCTATTATTGAGGTAGGTTTTGCCGTTGTTTCTCGAGCTGCAGTACTGCAGGTCAGTTGTCTTATGACAGCTGGATCATTTACAACTTGTAATCTATAATGTTATGCAACCCACCTCTGTCTAAAATTAGGAGGGAGACAAAGAAATCGCCACCAAGATGCAAGAGCTGGCCTTGAGTGAAGGAGCTCTGCCAAGACATCTGCACACATCATTGTTCACCATCAGTTCGGACCAGCGGATGCTTACTAACAGGTTTCCCCTCAATATACATGCGCAGTTACACACTTTTGTGTAGTTATTTAGGATGCCGCCCCTTAAAATTTTTGTACCTCGCAAAATCTCCTCAACAGAAATGTAGGCACTATTATTAACACCTCAGACTTCTAACGTTGAACTTTTTATTTGGTCTTCCAGGCAACTGAGTCGTCATTTGGTGGGACTCTGGACAGCAGAGAACCCTGTGGCTATGAACCTGCTTAAAAGGATCCTGGTAAGGCTCGACATTAGCTGAGTTCAGACTTTTAAACATATATTTGAAGCTTTTCCAACTCTCCTGTCAGAAGCTCTTAATATAATGATGATGATACAGGAACTTGAGAATTTATGCCCATGCATTCTGCTGGCAGAGGAGGTACACTGTTTAAGTTTCTCCCCATTTCTCCTGTCTGTGCTTGTAGCCAACGGGGCTGTTGGCTTACTTGGACAGTCCTGACCCTGTTCCAGAAAAAGACGTGGACAGAATGCACATACGTGACAACCTGAAAATCGCCACGGTATCTGGACAAAAATCCCCAATTTACACTTTTGCAGATTTGAACAGCTTGAGTGGAAAGTGTTTTTCATTTATTATTGATTGATTCCATCATTTGAATATTTCCTTCCTTTAGGACCAGCTTAACCGCAACAAGGTGCCTGAGTGGCAGCGGATTGCAGGCAAAGCAGCCAAAGAGGTGGAGAAGTTTGCCAAGGAGAAAGCTGACGTAGTGCTGATGCACTGGAGAGATAAGATGGGCATTGCCCAGAAAGAGGTGAGCTTCTTTTTTTGGGGGGATATTAGAACTAATTTGGTGATTTTAGTGTTAAGCCCCTGCTACTGCTAGTGTCTTCATTTGCGGAACAGTTGCTCCTTCGGCTGACGCTCAACTCTTCTGCAGATTGCACAGCCAAACGCCTTTTCTCTCGCTGGTCTTATTTTGCATGGAGGCAGTTTCAGCTGTGGTGCTGCGTGATGCGAATTAACTCTATATGTCAAGATACAGTAGAGTATTCTCTGGAAAAAAGAGTCTGCTTGGCAAATTATTTCCATTACAGTCACACCTGTACGTCTTTTGTGCTGAAGTGCAGCTCTATTTTAAAATGATTTTAAATTCAAAATGTCCCTGTTTCTTTGCCTTTGGGAACTTTGTGTTGACACATTGCAATTTCACCCAAACTATTCGTTACAATTGTTCTCATGCACCTCTTCAGTTTGATTCTACTCAATTTCAACTTCTAATAAAACTGTAACATCCTGACTAAATCTACATTATTCTTTCGCTTCTGCTCCTCTTTAACTTAAATGTTTTTTCTTTCTTTGAACTTAGCCTAATCACATTCTTCTATTTGTTTTCGCCATAAATTGTTTGTTAAGAAATGGTTCGGGAGTTTTAGAAATAATACAACCCTTTTTGGCGTCTAAACAAATTTGGAATGGTTATCCGTCTCTTTTGACATTAAGAGTTTAGTGACCTGTGACCCTTGTTGTGATTCATCTCTGTTTGATCTGAGGAACAATAATCTCTCTGTGTCTCTACCCCACCCTCCCTTTGTCTTGTCTGGTTTCTGTGCTGTCAAACAATGCAGCAGGACAGAAATAACCTGGTAAGTAAGACTAACTGCTAGAATTTATACCATATTTTTTCTTCTGAACAACCCATTTTCTATCTGTCATCTTGGGTATCCTCTTTAAAAATCCATTTTTACCTTCTGCCTGAGAATAACTGAATAGAACCCACAAAATGGATGCTAGCTGGATATTATTACATTTTCTTATAGATCAATAAATAGTGTTCATGTTTGCTTTGAGACAGGAATGCATTTAGCAGATAAAGGTTGGTAGAACACTTCTGAATCATCATTTTAAAATGACTGGGGAAATCTTTTTTATGGCTTTACTACACCTAAATTAAAAACTCTTGGAATGTGCTGTGGGAGAAGCAGCTGTAATCATAGAACAATATTTTATGGCCATAGAACAATTATATTGGCCAGGGTACTCCCTGGACAGGTTAGAAGTCCAAAGATATACAGCAGCCACACGATGAAAATGTGTGTCTTACTTCAATATCAACAAGGAACCCACATTTTCACAATGACAACACAGAAAGGCCCGAAGGCCCCAAGCAGCTATTCTGTTTTTAGCTTAAAAAAAAAAACTCATACTGAGCACAGGACTTGCACTCCACAAGCAAGAATTGCAGAAAGTACACACAATGTTGGTGCTTTCATCTTGTTTTTGTGTTTTTCCCTTGTTGGTATGATGACTTTGTTGCTCTTAGGTGTATACATGTTTTTCAGATATCTCATTTGTATTTTTATCAGATTGTTTTTAGTTTTTTTGTCCCACCAGCAAAACCATCAATTTCATTTTTGGTGTTGTGCTCATGTCATCACCATCCTAATGTAACTCTCTATAAGCTAAAAAAAAAAAAGTTAAATGTGACAAATAACAAACTGTGTGTTCCTTGTTGTTTGATTTCAGAATCCAAACCAAAAGCCTGTCATCCTGCGAAAGAGAAGACAGAGAATTAAGATAGAATCAAATTGGGAGCTTTTCTACTACAGGTAGAAAACAACTTTTTAATATATTTTGCTGAATAATTTAATTAATAATATAATAATTAAATAATAAGTAACAGCTAATGAGACAGTCTATTTGACATGTTTGTTTCTTTCTCCTTGCCTGTTCTTTTTAAGATTCCAGCTTGACCATGCACGCTCCAACCTCATCTGGAACCTTAAAACGAGAGAGGAGCTGCGGGATGCTTTGGAGGGGGAGATGCGTGCTTTCAGTGTGGACCGTGAGCTTGGCAGTGCCACAGTCATTTCCTGGAATCACCAGGAGTTCGAGGTTTGCTGCTTTCGTTGCCAATCTTGATATCACAGGTCGTACATCGGTGGAATAGCAGTGAAATTACATGTTAAAAAATGAGTGAAATGCAAAACAAGATCCTGTCATAAAACCCACAGAAGCTTATAGATTTATAACATCTATCCATTTGTCATTCAAAACTGTTCTTCCATGTGTTTTTTCTGGCAGGTGAAATATGAGTGCCTTTCGGATGAGATAAAGATTGGGGATTATTACCTGCGCCTGCTCCTGGAGGAGGATGAAAATGAAGAATCGAGTGCCATCAAGAGATCGTAAGATTAAAACTCAGCCACAAGCTTAGATACAACAGTGTCATTTTCCAGCACCAATTTATTAAAAACACAACTCACCACCCTGCTTCTGTTTGTTTGTAGATACGAGTTCTTCAACGAACTCTACCACCGCTTTTTGCTGACACCCAAAGTCATGATGAAGTGCCTGTGCCTGCAGGCACTTGCCATAGTTTATGGCAAGTGCTACGAGGAGATCGGCCCCTTCACAGACACAAAGTACATTGTGGGCATGCTGGACCGGGTATGTGCAGGCAAACTGTATCTGATTGGTGTTTGCAAACTTTTGATCTAGGTTTTGATATAAAAAATCCCAATGACATGCCTCTGCTTGCAGTGTACCGATAAGCTGGAAAGGGACAGACTCATCCTCTTTCTTAACAAGCTCATTCTTAACAAGGTAAATCATTGAAATGGGTTACTGAATTATTGATTAAATCAGTGGTGGGTTCCTCTCAGATTAGTTGGTTTAGTCTGATACTATTCCCCTATCTTGCATGAATGCTTTGCAGAAAAATGTGAAAGACGTGATGGATTCAAATGGAGTTCGTATCTTGGTGGACCTGCTTACCTTGGCTCATCTGCATACCAGCAGGGCTACTGTGCCACTTCAGGTATGAACTGCAACCTTTTGACTATATCAGTTAGTCAAACAACACCAGATGCTAAAGTTCTACACAGTCCAGTTGACTGAGTTCTACCCATACATCCAATTCTTTTAAACTAATTTCTATTTGTTACATATGTTAACAGAAGTGTTTTTTTTTTTTCCACAGAGCAACGTTCTGGAAGCAGCACCAGACATGAAGAGAGAGAGTGAGAAGGAGTGGTACTTTGGCAATGCAGACAAGGAGAGAAGAGGGCCTTTTAGTTTTGAGGAGGTAGGCCACTTTGTCTCTAAAATCATTTTGGTAATAAAGATTCTTGCCAGCAGCAACTTATCAAAGTGTAATAATATGATAATGACATAGTCCATCAGTTAAAACAAGAGGGTCCTCCATTTTCCTTTCATAATAAATATATGCATAATGTCTGGTATGTCTATTGACTACAATAAAGATGGCTATTTAATGTGAATTGAATTTATCCGCAAGAAAAATATTGGAGACATAAAATCATCCCAGTTACTGAATGCCACTGAATTAATTTTCACACTTATTCTAATTTGTTGTAATTTGTCTGATCCTGCCTTTTTTCTGGCATTAGTTTTTCTTCACCCCTAACTTTAATGTTTCTGTATTCCAGATGCAGGAGTTTTGGAACACGGGTGTCCTCACGGCAAAGACCCGCTGCTGGGCGCAGGGGATGGATGGTTGGCGCCCCCTACAGGCCATTCCTCAGCTGAAGTGGTGCCTCCTGGCCACAGGACAGGCAGTGATGAATGAGTCGGACCTGGCTACAATGATCCTCAACATGCTCATCAGCATGTGCTCCTACTACCCCAGCAGGTGGAAAACACTGTCTTTTGCTTTTCCAACTTTTTTCATGCTTTCACTTGTAAATATTTCATCAGGACGTTTGTGAATAGTAATTCAGATTTTCTTGTCTTTTTTTGTTTAAAGGGACCAAGATAATGCCATTATCCGTCCTTTGCCTAAGATTAAGAGGATGATCAGTGACAACGCCTGCCTCCCACACATTGTCCAGGTAAATATAGGCTGAAAGACTTGTCAGTCTGTCGTACCCAGTAAATTAATCAGTGACATAAAGTGGCATTTTGTTTTCTTTTATCTACTCCAGCTGCTGTTAACATTTGACCCCATTCTGGTGGAAAAGGTTGCTAATCTTCTGTACCTAGTGATGCAGGACAACCCCAATCTGCAGCGACTCTATTTGACTGGAGTCTTCTTCTTCATAATGATGTACACAGGCTCCAATGTGCTTCCTGTTGCAAGGTGAAACTATGACATAACCACAGAATGCTTCCAAACAAAATATGTATCTGTAGGTCTGCTGATCATCTTCCAATGCTAAACAATCATTTTAACAAATGCTTTCTATTAAAAATCAAAACATTGAGTGTTACAATGTGTTTATATGCAGTGAATGGTTATTTCTTTCCATTTAGGTTCCTGAAGTACACTCATTTGAAACAAGCCTTCAAATCAGAGGAGGTGATGATGAATTCAAATGTTGCTCTTTACCTTTTATTGAACAGAATACATCTGGTGAATGTTTGTTTGAAAATGACTAAACAATCTTTTGTGCTCTGTCCACAGTCGAAGGGACAGGACATTGTACAGCGAAGCGTTCTGGGACCAGTGTTGCCTGAGGCAATGGTGTGTTACCTGGAAAACTATGAGGCTGAGCGCATCTCTGAGATATTCCTGGGGGAATTTGACACACCAGAGGCCATTTGGAGCAGTGAGATGAGGTGCGACGTTGCTTCACTTTTGCCCATTTCCATTACATTTAGAAGTGCAGTAGGAAGGCCACACCGTCTGGTTTCCATGGATTCTGAGTCTCTGGTTTTTCTTTGAACTCTCTGCTTCAGGCGGATGATGATTGAGAAGATAGCAGCTCATGTAGCAGACTTCAGCCCCAGGCTGCAGAGCAACACACGAGCCCTCTACCAGTACTGCCCTATTCCTGTAATCAGCTTCCCTCAGTTGGACAATGAGCTCTTCTGCAACATCTACTACCTCAGACATCTTTGTGACACCACTCGCTTCCCCAACTGGCCCATTCGGGACGCTGTATGTGTTTTTCCCTTACTTTTTAGTGTCCTTCTCCTCTAACAAAGATACCACGACCCACTACTTTGATTACTCTGACAGGTGAAGCTACTAAAAGACACTCTTGAAGCTTGGAAAAGGGAGGTGGAGAAGAAGCCTCCTCAGATGTCAGTGGATGATGCATATGAAGTTCTCAGCCTTCCCAAAGGACAGGGCCAGTGAGTAGAAGATATTTTCTATTTTTGTTTTCATTTTAGACAGTAAATATTATACATCTCTTGAAACATTTTCTCTGCTGATAAAGTTGATCTCCTGTGGCATTTGATTAATTGTTAAGACAGAAATTTGACTTTTTTTCTGTTTAGGCATGAGGAAAGTAAAATCAGGAAAGCTTACTTCAGACTCGCACAGAAGTACCATCCTGACAAAAACCCAGAGGGAAGGGTACGTGTAATCTCCATCACTGCAATATGAAGGTATTCTCTGGTTTAGAATACTTATTCAGAATCTTTTGAGTAACTCCATTTGTATTTTTAGGACATGTTTGAGAAAGTGAACAAAGCCTACGAGTTTCTCTGCACAAAGTCTGCCCGAATTGTGGATGGCCCTGATCCAGAAAACATTATCCTCATCCTCAAAACACAGAGCATCCTGTTCAACCGACATAAACAAGGTGCGTAGATCGATAAACTCGTTTTCGTTCAGTTCGAATACGGGAAAAAGTGTAACTGAAGTATAGTCTAAAATGTTTATAATAGCAGAATAAGATAATGCTGGTGCTGTGTCTTCCTCAGAACTGGAACCTTACAAATACGCTGGTTACCCCATGCTCATCAAAACGATCACGATGGAGACTGAGGATGACCAGCTTTTCTCTAAAACATCGCCTCTCCTGCCGGCTGCTGCTGAACTGGCCTTCCACACGGTGAACTGCTCGGCTCTCAACGCAGAGGAGCTGCGCCGTGAGAACGGCATTGAGGTATTGAAACGGGAGTTTCTGTAGATGGAGCGTTGTTGTCGTGCTGCACCATGTGGCTAACCGGTTCGGATCTGTTTCTTCAGATATTATTGGAGGCTCTTTCTCGTTGTGTTGCTGTACTGACTGCATCCAGCAAACCTGAGGACATGGCTGTACAGGTAGAATTATCACTAAATACGTAGGTCATTGTGGCATTTCCTTGTTTTTTGTGGTGTATATATGAGCAGCCCTCTGTTTGAAAGGAGTTCTTTAACACCTTTTCAACTCGTACTCGTATCACAGGTGTGCGGGCACATCTGTAAGTGCTACAGTGTAGCGGCACAGTTTGAAGAATGCAGGGAGAAGATCATTGAACTTCCCAACATCATCCGGGACCTCTGCCACATCTTGTTCTATGGAAAGGTGAAGATCTTTTGGGTTCTACCGTCTCATCAGTCATGGAAAACGTTGTGCACAAACTGTAGAAGTGCCCTACTGAAGAAGTCTATGATTTCAGTTAGATTAATTGACCAGTCTGATTAAGATGTTGAGATGATCTTGAAAGTTTAAAGGAAGAGTTAAAAAAAAAAGAAGAAGTTTTAATTCAATTTCAAATGAAATTCCATTTTTTATGATGGAGAAACAAATGGTATTCTTCCATTATGCTCACACTTATCCTTAAACGGTAAATGCAGACACTTATTTATGTGAAGAGATACCATCTAATATTTTAGTTGAGACGACTAACTACATAAGGAAAATGTGTTTCCCAGCATTGATTCATTTACTCCACTTTGTCTCCTCACAGGGTCTCCCAAAGACTGCTGCACTGGCAGTTCAGTGTGTCAGCTCCTTCGCGGTGGATTTCTTCCTCCAAACCCATCTGTACCACGCTGGTGTGCTCTGGCACCTTCTGGTCCATCTCTTCAACTACGACTACACCCTGGAGGAGAGTGGCGTCCAGGCCAACCAGGACACAAACCAGCAGGAGGTGGCCAACTGCCTGGCCAAGCTCAGCCTGTTGGCCCTCAGTCGTCTGGGAGGCTACACCCAAGTGCCACACAGCCTGGACGGCACCAACGCTGTTTCAGAGACCAACGGTTTAGAGGGAACCCCTCCAGAGAACCCCACCATCCGCAAGAGCTTAGCGGCCATGCTCACACCGTACATTTCGAGAAAGCTGGGGACAGGATCTCCTGCTGAGGTCAGTTGAACAGGAAATACAGCAGAGCTGTTTTTGGAATGCGTATATCAGATGGGATAATCACTCTCTTTGGGCTGCCTCTAGGTTTTGAAGCTGCTAAATAGTAACTCAGAGAATCCCTACCTGATCTGGAACAACGGAACACGGGCTGAGCTGCTGGAGTTCCTGGAGGGTCAGCAGGAGGGCAACGTTAAGAGAGTAAGAGAGACTCATGGCTGTTTTCATATTGAGAGCGCGCTGTGAGCACCTCACATGAGCATTTACTCAGTGAATATGCTGCTTCTTTTTACAGGGAGAAAACGACAAGAGCTTTGGTGCAGAGTTTTTGTTCAGTGATCACAGCAAAGAGCTCATAGTGGGAGAAATCTTTGTCCGAGTGTACAATGAACAACCTTCTTTCCCACTGGAGGTGAGTATTACAGATCCATTTAGTTTTGTAGTCATTTGGCAACGTCCGATTTGCCTAGATGGTATCAGTTATTACTGGAAAAAAGGAGAAAAGCCTGAATCTCTTGGTGTATGTTTAATTTTCAGGGTAAAACTTTGGTCTTCTAGTTCTAATTTTCTTTGCCGTTTGTTTGTTTAGTTCCCCAAAGCATTTGCTGCCAGTCTGCTGGACTATGTCGGCTCCCAGGCTCAGTACCTCCACACTCTGCTGGCCATGAGTCAGAGTAATAAGGTGGAGTCCCAGCAGCATGCTGAGAGGCTGCGCTTTGCTGAGATGGCTTTAGAGGCTCTCCGCAATGTCATCAAGAACAACCCTGGTGAGTCCTAGTACACTTTTTGCTTAGTTTGGCTTATTTGTTTTAAATGTTGTTTTTCTGAGTTTCTCTCTGCTTTTAACTACAGGCTCAGAATCGGAGTGCATTGGTCATTTCAAGCTGCTCTTCTCTTTGCTGCGGGTTCATGGAGCTGGCAGAGTGCAGCAGCTAGTTTTGGAGGTATATCTGACTTATACTTGGTTCTCACTCTATTTATCTCGTAAGTGCGGATCGCTGTGTGGTCGGATTGCACTCACATCGGTTTCCCCTGCAGGTTGTGAACACAGTTACATCAAACCAGGATTGTGTGAGCAACATTGCCGAGTCTCTGGTCCTGTCCAACCTTTTGTTGCTGCTGCATTCACTGCCCTCCAGTAAGAAGATGCATGTCATATACATTGTGATTCGTTGTTTTTGTCTATTGTTGCACCGTATCATTAGACTAACACACCTGCTGCATCTTTAGGCCGTCAGCTGGTGCTGGAAACCCTCTATGCGCTGACGTCAAACACAAAGATAGTCAAAGAGGCTATGGCCAAAGGTCAGTGTAACTGTAATTCTTTATATATGTCCATTTTTTTGTATATGTTCATGTTAAAGATAATCTGTGTGTTTTTACAGGTGCTCTGATCTACTTGCTGGACCTCTTCTGTAACTGCACACACCCCCAGGTTCGCACTCAGACTGCAGAGCTCTTCTCCAAGATGACCTCAGACAAGCTGGTTGGGCCAAAGGTCAGCCTTGACGGATTTGTTTTATGATAAGAAAACACAAGAAGAATGATCCTTACTAATAATCAAAAAAATTCTCACTGTTTAGGTGCGTCTGACACTCATGCGTTTCCTTCCGGGTGTGTTTATGGATGCGATGCGTGACAACGCTGAGGCGGCCGTTCACATTTTTGAGGGAACACATGAAAACCCAGAGCTCATCTGGAATGACACCTCAAGGGAGAAAGTGTCCACCACTGTCCGGGAGATGATGCTCGAGTATGTTTGACATGAGCTCAGTTTAATTTGTCAAGATGGTGATTTGTCTTAGATTTATCATTGTCTTTGCTAGCTAATATAGTTTTAAATGCTTTTTTTCAGCCACTTTAAACAGCAGAAGGATAATCCTGATGTGAACTGGAGGGTGAGTATTTAATTGTTGTTAAACAGTTTAGTTGTATTTTTCATGCTCGGTGTGAAAATGAACTCTTTGTGGCTGTGCTCAGTTGACAGATGATTTCACGGTGGCTTACGGAGCTGGTCAGGGTGAGCTTGAAGTTGGTGGAGTCTTCTTGCGCATCTTTATTGCTCAACCTGGGTGGGTGCTACGGAAGCCTCGGGAGTTCCTGGTCTCCCTCCTGGAAACCTTGACAGAGCTGCTGGAAAAAAACAACCCCAACGTGAGCATCCTAATGGAGAAGCTAAAGCATAGAGATGTGGATAAATGTGGACAGATAAATACAAATCTCTGTTCTTTTGCTTTTCTCCCTTTCATCCGTCTTCCTGCAGGGCGAGGCCCTGGAGACAGTAACCACAGCAGCAGTTTGCCTCTTCAGCACCCAGAGCCAGCTGGCCGACCAGGTTCCCCCTCTGGGTCACCTGCCTCGCATCCTGGCCGCACTTAACCACAGGAACAACGCCGTGCCCAAAAGCTCCATCCGCCTCATCCACGTCCTGTCAGACAACGAGGTGGGATGTTGCACGTTTTTCTTCTCATGGTGGCATTTCATATCTTAACCCAGATTGAATCTCAACACTAGAAAGCCCTAAAGTAGGAGATTAAAACGGATTGTTTTGTGCAGCTGTGTGTACGCTCCATGGCTTCCCTGGAGACGATTGGCCCCCTGATGGCTGGGATGAAAGCACGGGCAGACATGGCCGGTCTGGCTTGTGAAGCCCTCAACCGCATGTTCCAAAAGGAGCAGACAGAACTAGTTGCTCAGGTGAGTTTCCCGTTATGTTGTATTATTGTCATAAACAATGTTCAGTCTGGTCTTAACCAAACCTCTCATAACTACTGAACAGGCTCTCAAAGTGGAGCTGGTGCCATACCTCCTGAAATTACTGGAAGGAATTGGCCTGGAGACATTAGAAAACCCCTCAGCTACAAAGGCCCAGATAGTAAAAGCTCTCAAATCAATGACTCGCAGTCTGCAGTTCGGAGAGCAGGTATGTACTGATGACCAAAAAATGAAGATTTGTTTGTCCTGTAATGCAATGACAGCTTTGTCTTTGAATTCAAATCCCTTTGCTAATTACTGTTTTGAAGGTGAATGAAATTCTTGCAAGGTCCTCAGTATGGAGTGCCTTCAAAGACCAGAAACACGATCTTTTCATCTCAGACTCCCAGACCGCAGGCTACTTGACAGGTAAAATGTTAATTGATGCCCAATATCAAAGCGTTTTAATAAGCAAAATACTGCAAATGTTTGTTCAAAAACTATCTTGGATTGTTTTGAAGGTAGGTCTTAATTACCTTGCTTTGATCCCTTTGGAATGATCAATGCTTTGCTTTTCCCTAAAAGGCCCCTGGCTGTTTTCCTCACTTACATTATTAAACCCAGCAACCCTTCAGTCTGCTCCGGTCTTGTAACTACCTGGCTCTTGCCTTCCCTTCCTCTTTCTCCTGAACATTTCCTCCTCAGGGGTTTCCACTCCTTCTCTCCTGGCCGCCAGCAGCCCACTGCGAGGTGGGCTCTAGACTCCAGAGCGGAGCCCCCACAGCCCTCCTCTCTCTTGCTCTGATGCAGGTAGACTCCTACTACCACCCCCTCCCTCCTTACCCCCATCCTTTTCCCACATACTATTTTCCTCATCCTCATTTCCTCATTTACCTTATTTCATCATCTTTTCTTTTCCCAGTAACAAAAATATTCCATTTTTACTCATTCACCTTTTCGTATCATTTTCTGCCCTATAAGAACTGGAAAATGCCATAAATACCATTATGTCCTTAAAGCTTAAAATCCCAGGGTAACTCATTGGCTTTGAAGTATTCCTTGTGGTTGAGTGGTTATTTACGACTATTCAGCTTTATAGATGTTTTTAAAGCTAAATACAACAATTAATCATGCTATTCCATCTACATGTAACGCTCTACAAAATCAAATCTCAAAACATTCCATTATGTCTTATTTGAAACAAATGTTACCCCTCATTCAAAAAACACCCAACATCAGATTACTGACTGCAGTCAGTGAAGCCATCGCCTCATCTTAAACATCATGTGGTCATTTGTGGTCTCCAGGTAAAAATGCTGTGTGGACATATGCTTCAGTCCAGTGTATCATTGTAGTCCATCAGTAGCACTCGACCCATTACTCGACCTTATTAGTCACACCTTGGGCGAATTCTTCTCCTTTTAGGTCCAGGAGTTGCAGGTTACCTTACAGCAGGAACTGGAGCCACTGTTATGTCCAGCGTCCCACCCCCTGTGGACAATGACATTGGAGACCAAGGCTGAAGGATGCCCCCGTGGTCCTGCTCAGGCACCCCGACTGCCCTGCAGCTGCACGCCTGCGGCACCGAGGGAACCAGCTCAGCTCCCCCAGATGAGGGGATCCAGAAGGACGACATCCAGGCAGAGCCAGCCCTCACCAAATTTCACCAAAATCTCTGCAACACCCTCTGCAGCATCACTCACCTTTCCCCCATTAGGATGGACACTTCAGTCTTCAAAAACACGTCGTTGTAATGAATGACCACATTTGTTTGTTTTTTTCTGTACTACTTTTGTTTCTTCCAATGACAGAAAAAAGTTTACTTTTTGTATGAATATATTTTTTACTCTAGATTTTTTTTTTCATCAGAAAGAAATGGGAAGACCAAGGCTTGTTATTGGGAAATTGTTTCCTCTTTATTCATCGTGTCTGTCAGTCCTAAATTTCTGTTCTCATCTGAGGCTATTTTGCATTGTTTGTGCACTGGAACTGTCCCCCTGTTTTGTAATTTGTCATTTCTGAATTTTTGGATGAGTCTTAAAATTGAAAAGAAAATGTCATAGCAAATCATACATTGTCATGAATAATTTCTCTGCCCCAGATCTAGAGAAAATAATTTAACTTTAACCCTCAGGAGGAAGCTGACCTGTATGATTCTGTCAGGTCATGACACAGATCTGCCCTCCTAATGGCCAGCCTTTTATTCCTCTTCTGCATACACTCTGCTCTCTAGCTACTCTTTTTGTCTGTCTCATAATTTTTAAAGTAATTCTCCTCCCCAGAATGCAAAAAGCACTAGAATATTTATGAGTGAAAAATAACCATTGGATATGAGCTTCTGCTGACATGACGAATGACTGATTATGAATCTATGTGAAAGACTAGTGCAATTTGTGAAATGTTCAATGTAATATTACGTATATAAACTTTCTATATTGAATGTACATTAAAAAAATCAGTCACACTTGTACATAAAATTTTAAGAATAAAAGGGAACCCACAGTGTTGTTCTTATGTATTTACATTTTATTTGTAAAACTCACTACATAGTGAGCTGTTCTCACTCAGTTCCATATTTGACCTTATTAGGGACTACATAAACATGTATCTAAACCTAAAAGACTTTCTCTTACATCTATTGGTATTAAACATTACTACATACTGTCATTATTTGAATGAACATTGATGCAATATTCTGAAGGTTTATTTTTTCTAAATTAAAATGGCGATAGATAGATAGATAGATAGATAGATACTCTATTGATCCCCAAGGAGAAATTCAAGAATACAAGAATAATAGGCAAAAAATGATAGACAATTAATACTAAACTGACTGACTTGAAGTTATGCACCACCAACAGTGATGCAGTGCTCAGTTAATAAAACAGTATTGTTATAGCTATACCACGGTAATTTCTATCAAGCTTTGACGATTCCCTATTTCAAATTCTATAATAGTAAAGTATATAGATTTTTTTCCCTAGTGTGAATATGTTTGAGACATCCGAAGGTTTTGGCGTCATAAGTCTGCTAAGAATGTGCGTGCACTTGAATTTACCAAGCAGTCCGAATCCTCTCGGACAGTTTATGGAGTGACACGACAGACAGACAGACAGACAGACAGACATTCTTGAAGACATTAGCCAGACTCCAAAATCAGACTATAGAAACGTATTTCAGCGATACGCCGACAGACACCAACAGCCCAGTTTGGGATGGATTGCGCAATCAGAGGTTCAGCTCGGCTCCTTGCTGCCCACATCACGTTTCACCCCGTATTTCAACAGGAAATGTGCAATTTCAGCGATTTTGACAATTAAAATGATCGCAATTAGTCATACATAAAGATCGGCGGACAAATAATAATATGTCATCGTATGTTTTGTCTTGTGAGGATGACCGCACGTCCCATAAATATATATACACAGCTATATAATTGCAGTCTCTGTGGCTGTGCAAGTTGAAAACCTTGGGAAAGAAACATTTTTCTCAGATTATTACGTACATTGGCACTCGGCATGCCCTACCGGTAGCCCCCTACCGGACCCCGGCACCGGTAGCCCGGTCTCCCTGCTTCTCCGCCCCCCCCCCCTAAATCTTTAAGATATTTGGTTGAATCTGCTTTAGTTTAGATTCTCATTGGTTTGTTTTTAGTCATGTGACTTGTTTTTAGTCATGTGACAAAAACAAGGAAGTGGGCGGGCTACCGCGATACCGCGGTAAAAGACGAAAAACGGAAAACCGGGAATACCGGGAAAACCGGGGAATATCGGGGAAAACGGCCACCGGGGGAGGGGGGCCGGGGCTCCCCAGAGGGGAGACCCGGACCCCCGACCCCGGTTCGATATCACTGTCAGAGTAGACCCGCACC